CCCCCCCCCCCCCCCCCCTGCACCGCCGCTCATATCGATCGATCGATCGTTGGTTCTCGTTAATCCGTATCGTGAGATCCCTTTCAAATAGAGAAACGAAGAGAGGATTACAGGAGGTTCTTTTTCTCTCTGCCTCTCTCTCTCTCTCTCTCTCTCTTTCTCTCTCTCTCTCTCTCTCTTTCTATCCCGGATTTTGATCGTCGTAAAGTTTCGTTCTCGACTCCTTATCGTTCGTCGTTATCTCGACGACGACGGCGAACTCTGAGAGTTATGACAGTTCGTAGCGACCTTCCTACGCACTTTTACCCTTCTTTCTCTGGTATCTTTAGGAACTCGCGCGATGTACTCGGAGAATTGTTCAGCTAGTTGTATCTTGAAGTATCCTGGGTGTATCGCGAGAGGAAAGATTGCATTCCCAGAAATCGCTCGTAATTGTATTCAAAATCCAATATCCGAGTTTACCACGAGATACACTTATGCGTGATGAACGAAGATGCAAGAAAATCAGTTAACACCTTCCTTCGCAATTTTTCTGCGATTTCAATAATTTTTATCATTTATCACCTTCCCCCTTATTCTAAAAAGAAAAAAAGCTGCATCGTTACTTCTATTGTAAAAATTTTACACCACTATCTCCCCACTAAAGAAATTTTATCTTGTTGATTCCGGTGAAAGAAAATATCCCCAGTGCGTACCTCTTGTATTTTACATTGCATGGTATCTGAAAAAAGAAACGAAGATATCTATCGGAACCCCACCTGTAGCAGCGCGTTCTCTAGACGATGCATAGACCATCGACACGCTCGTTCGCAAAGTCTAGCCGCGCGCTACCGTCATCTTCTCTTCCCTATAATCTTTCTTTTATCTTTTTTCAGCCGGTCCGTCTTTCAACCCGAAACCCCGACCTTTCTCCCTCACTTTCGCATGAATCGATAGCTCTCGATGCCGCCGTCGTCGTCTTCACGCTGGCAACCGAAAGGCAAACACGATCCAGATGACAAAAGCGCCAAAAGAATACATAGAGCGATTTTGCTGTTCACGATTTCTTTCGCGTCACTTTTAGAAAGCTTTTTAGCGCGTCTCGATAATTAGGTACGCATTCACCGTTTTCACCTCGAGGGTGGGATAAATAATGGTTCTTTTTTTTCCTTTTCTTTTCTTTCCTAGCGACTTTGATACGTACCTCTAGACCTTTTATCGATACGCGATACCGCGATACCACCGGTAGCGAGTGTTATTTCATGCTTCGGAATTACTCGTTTGCTTTCTCTCCTCGGAGACATATGAAAGAAAATCGTGAGTCAGCGTGCGGACATAATGACACTTCTGAGGTGTTGCCTGGTGACAGTTTGTGTATCGTCATCGGCCCAAAATGTTGGATAAATAAATACAGATACGAAGTGAAGCACAGCAACAAGTCCTTCTCGTTGTACGAGAGCGCACGTCTACACTTCCACACTTATTTTTTGGTTTTTTTCATTGCGCTACCTCTTCTTCGACGCTCTCACGTAGAGTTGACCACTTAACAGCGGTTTTTCTTCGCTTCGCGTCGATACCGTCGAGTACCCGTCCGGTATCGACGCTAATACTCGCTGTCATCGTAGAGTCCTTTTGCTACTTACGATCGATCTGGTATCGACAATCATAACAACACGCAGATTCGCAGTTCTCACGCTGCTCTGTTTAAACTGTCGGGAGTGGCTATCGAAAGAGTGCAATACTGATAACTTGGATATTAATGAATTAGGAGCCTTCGAATTCTCGCGAAGACTACGAGTTTATGTTAATCTCGCTTCTTTTTTCTTAATTTAGCGCACCGGGTTGTGCTCGTGGTCTCTTTGCAAGTATTATAATATTTCCAAAATATTCATACTTATTAAAGGTACTTATAATAACGCTCCTTCTCTCTCTCTCCATCTCTTCCTGTTGTTGATGAATTGGTGTGTTACCCAATTTAAATGTAACGCATAAAGAAAAGATTATGCTGCAGTAGCCAATCGTGGTTTAGCTGAAAATGTTTTGCCGGTGTGGTCAAAAGTTTGCTGCCGTAACCGAAACTTCAGTCACTCTTGCTAGGTGTACAGGTGACACACCTAAGATATGTCTACTGTAGCCATTTATAGGTTTCCATACGCTAGCTAGAATCTTCGTTGTAACGTATGGACACCTGCAAGTTCAGCTACAATAGACATATATCGGGCGTGACATCCGTACACCCAGCAACAGTAACCAATTTCCAGTCACACCAGCAAAACAAGCCAAGCCATGATTAACTCCACGCCAGGAAAATCTTTTTCTCCATGCGAGAATATTGCAATTAAAATGCCTCCGGTATCGTACGTATTTTCTTCCTTCTCCTCCGCTTTTGTGATTTTCTTAAACATTATTCGATAAATAGTCAAACTTCTCTCATGGTGCATTGTAAGCAACTTTACGCGAACTCGAGAAACGGAGAAGTACCGAAGAGACCACGAGCGCGCGCGGCTCATCGTGCTTCTTACTCACTGCAGTTTTCTCTGTTTCTTTTTGTTCGTTCTTTCTAACGCACCCCGACGAAACTATCCGTCTCACTCACTCACGCACCCGAACGCATGTATTAATGCACTTTTCGTGTGTCGTGCACCCCCGTTTTCTTCGACCTCGGCAAACTAACCACCCCCCCGCCGAGCCCGTCATTTTGTCGCACCCTCCGTTCGCCGTCCCAGAAACCTCCAGCGAGACTCACGAAAGGTCCTGCTATTACGAGGTCGTTGAGGACACGAGGGACCAGTCCCGTCCGAGCTCCGTGAAATCCCGCGTGTGGCCGCCCCCGAAACCCATCGAGGACATCACCTACCCCACCGCCAGTCCCCTCTACATCAATCCCAACCCCGTCCTCGACAAGAGGTACCACCAGGCGATCAAAGAGAAGCGCGCCAGTATCGAGGCTTGCGAGCGAGCTCTGAGTCGAAGAACCGAGAGACGAAGCGAGAGCGCCGACCGAGAGGTCGAGAGGGTGACAAGAGAGTGCGTTCGTCGGCACGAGGACTCGGCGATGGACCGGCTGAGTTGCCCCGGGTCGGTGTACCGGCGCGTCGAGCTGGTGGACACCAACAGGAGCACGCAATCGGACGTAACGTCGAGGCCTAGCTCGACCGACAGTGTTCGCAGGTCGCTCACGCCCACCAGAATCGTCCAGCCGATCCCGAAACCGTGGACGGCGACCGTCACCAGCGGCGGCACCAACCTGTACGAGCAGAGCTACGCGCAGGAGCAGCAGCCGAAGGTGTGCAAGAAGTTCATGCAGCGCGAGGTCTGCCATCGGGAGCGGATATCGGGTGGCAAGGAACAACGGGAGGAACACCGAGCGTACCGAGCGGAGATCTGTCGTAGGGAGCAAACGATCTGCCCGAAACCGCCATTGCCCGCGTCTAGACAGGAACCGGCGGAGACGGTGAAGGAGGTCGATACCGAGATTTCCGATTTGTGGGGAGACGAAGCGAACGAACCGGAGGTTGCCCGCTCGACGGGAATTCAGGGCGAACACGATCTCATCACCGAGACGGCTGAAGAGACCGTCGACGGTATGCGCGTGAAGCAATCGGCGACCTTCGAGAAGACCGTGGAGAGGATGACGCCGGAGAGATGCGGCGCTGCGACGATCGAGGAAGAAACGGACGAGACGGAGTCGGAATGTCTCACGAGGAGAACCGAGACGCGGATCAATCGAGAGATGGAGAACACGGAAGAGCGAACGGTGGAGGAGTCCGCTGAGACGGTCACGTCGGCCGTTGACATCCAGCAGATGCTGGAGAAGGCGAAACAGGAGGAGGAAGAGAGGAAGAGGGAAGAAGAGGAGGAGGAGCGCAGGAAAGAGGAAGAAGAGAGAAGACGTCGTGAGGAAGAGGAAAAGCGAAGGCAAGAGGAAGAGGAGAAGGCCAAGAAGCACGTGACCTTCAATGAGCAGGAGGAGGTGGTGGAAGAGGTGCAGGAACAACCGCTCGGCAGGACTGTCGTTCGAGAGGAACGCGTCACAGAGACGGACACTACTCCTGGACGCTGTAAGGTGACGAAAGAGACGTACGAAGAGATCACGGAGGAGGTGCTGGTTCAGGAACGCGTGAGGAGAAAAGGCGTGGGTGACAGTGAGCGCAGGAAGAGTTTGCGGGAGCAGGTGGAGGTCCATCAGAGTCTCAGGGACCAGCAAGCGCCGGAGAGACGAGTGGTCGCGAGATACGGCCAGCAGCCTCAACAGGAGACCATGGAAACGTGCAAGAAGAAGGTCCAGTTCCTGAAGGAGACCGAGACCGGGCCGAAACCTCTGCCGGACACGCCCGTGAAGAACTCCACGCCTAAGGAGTGGAAGTCCGAGATGGTGAACGCCTTGACGACCGTGTCCGATCGGCCTTACACGCCTCTCAACGCCACCAGCGTGAAGGAGCTCTACACCGAGGAGACCATCTACCTGGATCACAGGTGTCGACCCAAGCCGCCGCCGGCACCCAAGGAAGAGATCCGGCCCATCTCGCCCTTCCAACAAGCGCTGACAATAGCGCCCGAGAGATCGTACACCCCTCTGAGTCGAGAAATCGGGCCGGAGGATCAGCAGATCGCGAGTAGACCGCAGACTCCGAGCATTCAGATGCAAAATGGCCATTGCCCGCCGTTGGACATCTTGTACGGCGACACGAAGGGGGAGTCTTACGCGCAGGTGTGCGTGAAGGAAGTCAGGGAATACTCCGGACCGCGGCCGTTGCCCACCCCGCCGCTCGATCATCGCTTAAGAGACGCCTCGGCGTCGCCGGCGAGGTCTCGGCCGCAAACGCCCAGCAGCAAGTCCTTCACGGCAGGTCTGAAGAAACCGGACACCATACCGGCCTACCAGAGGAACCTGGTGGCGATGAGGAAAGGCCCGGTGGAGGGCCAGCCGTTTGTCCCCAGCAGAACTCCGACCCCGACGCCTCGCAGGTCTAAATCACCCGCTTGCTACGTGAAGGCTCAAGCGCCGAGAGTTCGAGAGGATCCGCCTCCGTCGAAACGCGGCGCGGTGCATTTCCCGTCGCGCAAGACCATCTCCTACCACGTGGAGGAGGACACCGACAGCGGGCACAGGAAGCAAGAATATTCCGCCTCGAGGACGGTAAACTTCGACGAGAAGGAAAGCAACAGCCTCGGCGGAGGCCCGACCGACGCGCTCTACGCCCAGTTCCAGGAGACACGGTGCATGACCAGCGAGGAGACCAGCGAGCAGCGGAACACCGCGTCCCACGTGAAGAGGGCGCTTCAAGTGGTCGAAGATTACGAGAAATGCGAGCGGAAGGAAGTGGCGGCGCCGCAGAACACCTGCGCCATCGGCAAAGTGAGCCACACCAAGCCCACCTTGCCGTGCCCTCCGCCGTCTCGGGCCAGTCCGGCGCCCGTTAAGCCGACCTACAGCAGCTCCACGGAGGTGCGTCACGTGCGTTACGAGACGCCCTCGCCTTGTCCGGAGACAGGCGTGACCGTTCTGCCCTGCAAGGCTTACTCCGACCGCGGCACGAAGGCCGGCGTCGTAGTGGTGCCTTGCGAAGGCTCGCAGACCGCCAGCTGCCCGAAGTCCGGAGTCTGCGTGGTGCCCACGAAGGACCGGTCGGGCCTCTGTGTGTCGCCCTGCCTCGGCGTGCGCGGTCGCGACTCTGCCTGCGACTACATACCCAGCAACTGCCCGGACTCCGGCATCTGCGTGGCACCCTGCGCCGACGGGTCCGTCTGCGTGGCACCTTGCACCAAGCCCGGCCCATCCCCCAGCCAGCTGAGAGCGAATCTCCCTTTCCCGCAGATCCCGTTTCCCGATGAGGATCCCGTTCCCCCATCGGCCGCCCGGTGCTCCCCGAGCTTCAAGCCTCGCACTAATCTGAGCGGTCAGCTCGCGCGGCTCACCGCCAAGAGCGGCCCGACCGCCGATCTGCCCACGATACAGCTTTACAAGCCGCAACCCCCAAGCTCTCAAGCCCCGACCCAGAGCTACACCGAGACCTCTTACCGCCACACCCAGAGCTACCGGGAGACCCACTGCGGCTCCGGCGATCGTAATCACTGCCAGGACCAGATCCATTGTCCCTCTAGTAAGACCCAGAGTTTAGTAGACCCACCAAATTTGTCATCCCACCCGGATCTAGGTGCCGGAGTCGGTGGCCTCGGCGGCACGGGCTCGTCCAAGAGCGGATCGTTCGCCGGTAGCAGCACGCCCAAACGCGGACGGGGCATCCTGAATCAGGCGGTTGGTGCGGGATCGCGTATACCGCTGTGCGCTCACTGCAGCTCTTACGTCAGGTACTCCACGGGATTCGCTCCGATCGACGGCGATGCTTGCTGCGCCGATCTCTGTGTCACGCTTGCTCTCTCTGTCTCTCTCCTCGTTGCCGATGTGTGCGTTTTGTTCCCCTCTCGCTTTCGTCTCCTCCGTTTTGCCTCCCTCGCTCGCATCTGTCCTCCTCTTGACAGGCGCACGTGCACGCGCGTACGTTCCTCTTTGTTTTTCTTTTTCAGCCGCCATTCTGGTCGTTTCTGAATTCTGTGACGTCGATCGCGAATTTGTCCGAAGGTTTCGCACGGATAATTAGTTCCGATGCTGTTGTATTCAAATCGGCTTTTTTGCGAGCGCTAAATCGTGCGACTTGGCTTACCTCTGAGTGACGACGACCATTTGGGTCGATATAATGAATGTTATAAGATTTCCCCAAATATTTTCTCAGTCATCTCACATCGAACTTTATAGAGTAGAAGCTTAGATATCGGGAATCTCTCTCGAACTATTTTTTCGAATATTTCACCAGCAAACGTTCCACATTGCGCTACCATTCAAATGTATTTAATGGTTGAGCAATCGTTGCGATTTTTCTAATCGATCGGTGTCCTCGCGCGTTAAATAACGTTGTCGTTATATTTTTGCAATTTTTAAATTACACGCTTGAAGATCTGTATGTTTCCGCTTGTGAAAATAATACACACGGGAGTTTATCGCATTCGTTTTTATGGATGTTAGTAATTGCCTGTAACCTAATTAACAACTGATTTCCACGGCATGTTGTTGACAGCTAACGAAGAAAACATTAATCACAAGTCAAACGGTTTCACCATTAAGCCGGTGTGCTGTAAAGGCGATAAAGAGTGCATAAGGTTCGTATGAAACTCCGCTTTGCGCGCAAAACATTCGTTAATGCCAGCGTGTTTTTCGAGACATGTATGTGTGTAACATGTAATCGTTACTTGTTCAGCTTATCGTGTTACTTCTTTGTGCGAAAAATTAAAAAAAAATATATCGTTTTGCAGCTAAAATACATATAGTTTCCTTAAAGCTATCGCTGCGTACATATCCGAAATTTATGATAATTACAAAGTGAATTGCGTTGTGACGCAGAGGGCCCTTCATTACCGCACTGGGCCAGATTTGGTGTCCTGATCATTTCGTTTGCGTCAACTCCCAATGCCGTCGTCCTCTTCAGGACATCGGCTTCGTCGAGGAGAAGGGACAGCTCTACTGCGAGTACTGTTTCGAGAGATTCATCGCGCCCACATGCAACAAGTGCAACAACAAGATCAAAGGCGTAAGTGTTATCGCACATCGATGACTGACGATCGCGACGATTCACAATTCGTTAATTGATTCCCTTCGATGTTCAGGATTGCCTGAACGCGATTGGAAAGCACTTCCACCCTGAATGCTTCAATTGCGCCTATTGCGGCAAACTTTTCGGCAGTACTCCGTTCTTCCTGGAGGAGGGATTACCCTACTGTGAAGCCGGTGAGTATCATCACGACGAAAATGATATAAAATTGATTAGATTTTCAAGACTCTCAGACGCATAATCGAAAAGGAAACATACAATCCAATGAAAATAAACGCCAAATTGAAGAATTAAATCTAAAGAGTGAATGTGAAGAAAAGCTAATTGTCGATGCAAACGAGCTATAAGTCATATAAATAGTAACACTTCTAACTGCAGAATATATTAATAAGTATAGATACCGATGAATTGAAGTTTCATTGGCCATGAAGACTCACGTACAACTTGACAACGTTTCCGAGTTGTCTTTTTATAACGTAACCCTTCGTTTGCTTCATCGTTCAATTACTACGTAACTTAAGTCACGGTTTCATTCTGAATACAGACTGGAACGAGCTGTTTACCACGAAATGCTTCGCGTGCGGATTCCCGGTCGAGGCTGGTGATCGCTGGGTGGAGGCCCTGAACAACAACTACCACAGCCAGTGCTTCAATTGCACGGTAAGTAAAGAACGAAACGCCGGTCTTTCATGTTTGTACTTCCCTTCGTTTCACGGAGTTTCGTAATTTTCTTAATTTACCCCTGCGATCTCATAAAAATGTAGAATTCTCTTCACGATTGTGATACTAAACGTCAGTGATCCTTCTTCTATGTCAGATGTGCAAGAAGAATCTCGAGGGCCAAAGCTTCTACGCGAAAGGCGGCCGTCCGTTCTGCAAAAATCACGCGCGTTAAGAACGTCGGCCTTGAGCGTCGCGGATGACCGACGGGAGGACAAGAGCGGAAAGCGAAAGAGAAAAATGCGGAGGACGTTCAACGGGAATGAGAAGCGTACGGTGTTAATGCACGAATTACTTTATCGCGATGTCACTTTCTTCTTTACTGTATCTCCGGTCGAGATCACACTAACCCCTTGTCAAATCCGCGAACCGATCCATCCTATAGCTGCGAAGAGCATAAGATCAATCGGGATGATTTTAACACCGGACTAAGTGCAACGAAAAAAAAAAAAGAAAAAGAAAGAGAAGGATACGTCTTCGTTGAAGCATAATAACAAACATAATAATAATAATTATGAAATTGTTGAAGGCATGATGAATGTTTATCTCGAGAAAGTAAGGCAATAAGTAGATAAAAATTATATAAAGATAAGATTTTAAAGAAAAGGACGTCGGCTATCGAAGAGTATCTCGTAATGATACCCTCCCCCCCCCTCTCTCTCTCTCGATTGTTTTTACAATCATTGATTTCCGATTGATTCTATGCTATGCTCACTTTTTCTTGTCGAGATACGAACAATGTCGCACGTCGTCCAGCTATGAGTTATTAATTAATATTTATTATCTAGCTTTTAATTAAGAATGTATGGCGCAGGAGACCTCACCCTCGACTACGTTCCACGTTTCTAACTCCGAGGAGCACGCTCCGTCATTTTCCGTGCGAAATTCAAAAAGTACGTTAATGCGCTATCAACTTTTGACACAAGCACCGGCGAGAGAACAATAATCCAACCTCCTTCGGACCAAGTGTCTCTCGAAAGGAGGAAACGTCGTTCCTTTCGTTGTAAATCTTACATCATCTAACGCTGCTCGCGCTAGAAGTTCATTCGCGCGCTCTCCGGAGTTAAGTGACTTTTGTTTTTCCCTTTTTTCTCTGCCGAGACGCATCGTATCCTCGATATATCGCGGCGATATTCTTCTATTCACGAGTATTCGGCCGGACCATCGGATATCGTGCGTCGCGCGACGTCGCGAGCGAGCGCAATTAATTACGTCGGGACGTTCGACGACGTACCCCCTGCACTTTGCGGTTCCCGTTTAATAGCATAAAACGGGCGTCTAATCGCGATCCTCGTGGGGCTGGCGAATGCGCTCGTAAAATCGCTCGTGGCAGGAAAGCCCCGTAACGATACACGACGAACGCTACTACGGCGGGAGTAGCCGCCGCGAATCGGAATCACGCAAAGCTCACTTGAGCAATTAGTATATTACGTCGGCTATTCGCATCATTTCTACGTGTTTCCAAGGTGCATCGGGATGCAACACGCACCGCTTCGGAGACGGCGTCGATGTTCCCTTTCCGGCAAACGACGGTGCGTCGCGGCGAGAAAAGAGGGACAGAGAGAAGGAGAGCGTGACGGATGGACGGACGAATGGGACGGATGCGAGAGCGAGATTGTCAGGAAAGTACGAACGAAGTACGGCGAGTGAATATGTCGAACGTGTGCGACGGAGAGAGAGAGAGAGAGAGAGAGAGAATTGGGCGCAAGTTTGCATGACGTTTCCCCGGACAGTGAAAATTACGCGCGGTATTGCGAATGTATTTCGTGCACGAGACGCGAGACGTAACTCCATCCGTGGTGATTGATGATGGTAATTAAGCCGAGCTCCGTCTTAATTCGAGTAATTTCATTCGGTTGAGCGATGTATTCGACGGTTGTCGGTACTTTTACGAGATTTAATCCTCCTATTCGTCGCGGCTCCTTCAGGTGAGCCGATTTGTTCCGACGGATGTCACTAAAGGCGCATTATGTTTTTATTTTACCAGCAAATATATATATGTCTTACGATTTTTGATAGAAATCACGGCGGAAGGATTAACATTTCCATCCTGGAAAGTCTTCCCGACAAAACCGCTCGATGAGAAACATCGCGGTAACGCTTTGCTCGAAAACATGCTAGTCAAACGCTCGAGAAGATAATCACATCCGAATGTTCTTGAATTCACGAATTACGAACATCATTCGCATTAACAGCGAAGACGTAGTGTGTCATTTAATTTATAGCCGGATGGGAGAAATGCGCGAAAAAAAAGCGGGCAGCGAGTGATTTCTATTAATTTATGAGAGCCCCGACATTTTGTGCACGATTCTTAGGTAGCAGGCTAACGAGTATTCGTCGAAGATACTTAATAGCTGTACTAAATCGACGAGCGGACATATATTCTTAGTGCATGCAAACTTTGCCGCAAGTCATCCGCGAGTCCGCCGTATCCTGGAATCGGCCGATTAAAGCCGAGACTGATAACAGGTTCAGCCGGGCATCGGGCTTTTATTTAATCAGCTCGATCGATTTGCCAGTTGCGAAGAAACGAAAGCCTGAGATTTAATGTCCCCACCATGATCGCCAGATAAGATTCTTAACTCCTCAAATGCCCGACTTTTTAGTCTTCCACGTCAATGCTCCTTTTTACGAATTTTCTTCAAAATACGAGAAAGATCTGATATTTTGCTAAAATTATGTATGAAAATAAAGCTCGGTTCGTCTAAGTGAGTTTCTATTCTCGGTGGGCCAGACGAAAACTCAATGACGCGAAACGATCTCTCTATTACTGCAACAAAAAATGTTTGTCTGGTCATTCACCTGCGTTAAAACCCGGTTGAAACAACTGAGAACAAATAACTGAACGATGAAAACTCTTGCAGGAATCTTTCTATTCCTGCCGAACTTTCGTTTGGAGATTATACGAACCGAGTTTCCTTTCCCGTGTATTACAAACGGATTCGCGGTTTTAAATTCCTGAGTTTCGCTTTCGAGCTCTCGAATTTCAAATTTATCGAATTTCTAAAACCTCACAAGTTCTTGAGTCTCTAAGGATCAGAAAGTTCAATTTCCATAGCCCCTCCCCCACGAGGATAATCAGATCCTTGAAGTCTTAGATCTAATTCGGCACTCGATATTACCTAGAGAGCCAATGGGAGCGGGTATTCTCATTTCAGCTTTAATGAACTCCTCTTCGAGGCACGGGGACACGCGGGGGGGGNGGGGGGGGGGGGGGGGGGACGAACGTCGGGTTTGGCCTGCGTTTTAACGAAGCGAGAGCGAGCTAACGAACGAAACGAACGTACGATTGCCATATTACGTTACTTCTAGACGAGGTTACCGATTTCTGTGCCATTTGCGTGAGCTTCTGTCACTGCATAATCGTTGTATTTTCGAGTGGGTGTGAGCGAGTGAAAGATAAAGAGTGAGAGAGAGAGAGAGAGAGAGAGAGAGAGAGAGTGTGTGTGTGTGTGTGTGTGTGTGTGTGGGTGCGTGCGTGCGTGCGTGCGTGCGTCATGCGTGCACGCGCGCGTATATATGTGTGTGTGTGTGCGTGAGTGAGAGAAGACACGTGCGAGAAACATCGACAGAACTCGTCGACTCTTGTGTGGAAGGTAATATATAATAATAATAATAATAATAATAATAATAATAATAATAATAATCCTATAAATATATATATATAGCACGTAAGAGTGTTTTGAGCTGTGTTTGCGACGTGATTCCGCGTGAAAGAAAAGAAAAAAACGCAAAAAGAGAAATGCTATGCTGTGCGAAAAGGACTTTAACTAGCACGAACGAACGAACGATCGATCGATCGACCACCGCCGCTCGATCTTGAGAAATCGTACGATACAGCACGGACCAGGAAATTTTAACGTTAACTCGGCCGATTATCGGCTCGTGTGCATCGCACAAGCCTCTGTATGCGTGTTACGTGTTGCTTACGAAATAAAAAGAAAGTATTTACTCGAGTTGTTCTTCCCCTCGACTCACTCCCTCCCTCCCCTTCTCTCTCCTCACCCTCGTCCTGTCGACATCGAGGTATCTCGAGAAGCGATAGACTTCTATCGATCGTCCAATTATCATAAATACATGAATTATCATAAATAAAATCAATTCCATTATTATTATCATAAATTCGTATTATCATAAATTCGTAACACGTAAGAGTCCCTTCGCTTAAAGGACATGGAATTGGAGAAATTTTATGTTCGGTTATATATTTTATCTCCTATCTAGATGTTACATAAATACTCCTATGTATATGTATTATCTTGTATTGCATATTTACTTTTTATGTTTATCAAACACTGCAAGCGTGCGTTGCCGCGTGCCGTTTCTCCCCGACATTTTTTTTCGAGAGCTATCGGAACCTAACCTAACCTGCGGTGCGCGGTGACTAAACGCAAAATCAAAACCGACTCTGATTAAGCTTCAGAATGTGTTGAAATATTATACTCCCAATCGGGACATTAAATTATCCTAATAATACCCTCACAGCCACAAATAACGATATACAGCTGTCTTTATTTGTTCATTCTTTCCAGAAATCATCGAGACTTACGATTGGATAATCCAATGCGTTACGTAGCGTGGCGCTTTGCTAGCGTTTAAATTGCACGCTCACCATTAAGCTGTGTGCCAACCAGGTGGGTCCATCGACGAGAACTACCGTATCCCGATTAATCCGGAGGCGACTGTGTTGTTTGTCCAGCATCCAGCGTCCAGCCGTGGTGTTTCGTGTCGATCGAATATTCCAGTGGTCTCTCTTCCATTACACTGCATTCGGCGCGACTACGACCGTTTTAACGGCGCCCAAGTTTTCGCGATAACTACGCGACGAGCTTCAACGCTTTTCGGAAATACACTTGTCAATCGCGAATCACGGGTGCTTCAGTGATAAGCATCACCTTTCGCATCATGCTCGATCAAACGACGAGGTTCCCGTTTCGCGGGAATTCTAATTTTCAAGAGAAACGATGACTGGCCTCCCCGTCCCGGGCGCCATCTTGACTCGTCGATCAACTTGAACCCGAAGCGTATCGATCGATGTTAATCGATATCGATTAACGGCGCGACTTCTCGGCGGCGTGTGCTCACAGCGATACGAATCGGATTTGACAGTTCATCGCGCTGAGGATGTGGTTATGTTCTTTACTGGACTATCCAGATAGCGCAGTTTCATACACGAATATAATACGATTGCGAAGCGTTACATACGTTTGAAGAACGTATTTGCATCTAACATGCGCTGCACGGAGAAAAATTAATCTTACATCAAGATTAGATATTCTCATGTATAAGATAAGATAAGATAAGATATTCTCATGTATAATATTATAATCTTCTCGGAAGATTTTCAGTCTTGAATTAGGTTCAAGTAATACTTGCATCAATATAAACCGAATCAAGTCAAGACTAAAAGTCTTCTAAGAAGATTTATGGTATTCCTGCTTGTATATGAGAATATCTATTCTTGATTCAAGACTAATTTCTTCCCGTGTACTCGGATATTTAACATTCTTCATGTCAACATCACACTTTTATTTCGTAGGGTTTACTTCCTTCTTGGCGATTTTGAACTCTCGGAATATACACGACGACAATTCACGATAGTGAGTGATAAGCAACCGAGATAAACGATTAGAATCGCGGAAGAAGCGACGTACGTTACCGAGCTGCCATTTCGGACGGAATAAAATATTCAGTTCTCAAAACTTTCTGATTTTTAACCTGATGTGCGAAACTCGAACTGGACAATCGCGGACTCTACTCCGCATTCGCTCCGTCGCGGGATCTGATACGATCGAGTTCGCGCGTCATCGAAGGTTCGTCCAGGACGCTCCGGAATCGCGATGATACGCGTATAAAAAAAACACGCTCGTTATTCCGACTGTTCGAGCTATCCTGCAGAATCTCCGAAACGAGGCTCGTCGAAACGAGGTGGAACAGTTTCCAAGGTTTCCTTATCGGAGCGAACTTTGCGGAGAATTCGCGTGCCGCGCCGAGGTGTACAATAAAAACCCGGCAAAACCAACGGCGTAAAAGTACAAATGCGAGGCGTCGCGCGAATATTTACGAGTGTTATTTACAGCTGGCGGCTTGCAGGCGCTGCTCCGATGAATGGCTGGTATTGATCGTATCAGCGGACTTCACATCGACGGAACGACCGAATCAACGGCCGGAAAGTACGCGAAGTTTCGCACGCATCTCGAAGTCAGTCCACGACGTCAGCGTTTGACCTCGAGGGTCGCGCCGAGAAGCAATAGGAAACTCGTTCGACGAGAACGATCGGACTGACTCGGTTCTCTTTAACGTGAAGTAGCCGCACTCTGCAACGCGCGTCTCATCGATTTGTCATTAGCGCGATCATTACCTTGCGGTACCTGGTTGCCTCCGAAGAGAAACAGATCGAGCGAGACATTCTTCCGTTTCTCTTCGGGGTTCCTTCGGAATACTTCGTCCGTGAAAAATCAGCGCGTGACGAGTCGCGCGGACGAAGGTCAGAGGGACATTTGGATTTCGCCAGAAGAGTCTCGAGTGTTTAACAAATTTTACGCTTGAGGTTTCCGCAGTGTGGAGAAACGCCGGGCTCGGTTTCTCGGTTGGGTTTTTTTTCGCGTACTTGCCTCGTGAATATTTCAATTCGCTTCACGGAGAGTTTGACGAGTCAATTTCTTCCCTGAGAGAGTGCTACGAGAGTGCAAACGAAACAGCGCGGAAGCGGCGAAAATTTGGTATCGGGTCGCCAACGGCAACGGTAAGCGTCTCGAAATCGGCGAAGCTCTTACGCGATTAGTCAGTTTCGGATACACACACACACACACACACACACACACACCCGAGACTCTCCGACGCGCTCGGAACTTCCGAGCGATCTTCGGCGCCATATCGACAATGCCTCGCGCAATTTTACGGGAAATTACTCGTTCTCGCGGTACACTACTCGTCCGTAACTGGAAACCTCGTTTATAGCTTGGCTCATCTGCCCCGGCTTTAAATTTAACGCTGAGTACTACGGCGCTGCAACTACCTCTTTACACGGACGCTCGCGAGTTAAAAAAAAAGAAAAAAAAGTATACGGGGCAAGGAATTTCATTTAACGCGAGACATTTGACATTTGACGTCGTCGTGCCGACGTCAGTTACGTTTGCTCTCTCTCTCTCTCTCTCTCTCTCTTCTCCTCTCCCCTCTCTCTGTCATGGCAAGGGATTGGCACGTAGTTAGTTATTTGTCGTCGTGAACGTAGAACTGTTAAACTTGCCGTGTAAAATAGCGTCGGTACATTTCTAACGTTCAATGGAATCTCAAAGTTGACAAGCGGACGTATAATGTCGCGATAATCCCGTCAGTTGTTCAAAAAATCTCCGGTTTTGCCGGTTGAATTTCACTCACGTTGAAAAATCGACGAATTGATTTCATCAGGAGACTGTCGAAATTAAAAAAAAGAAACGGTAATCAAAGCCAGAACTGATAGAGATAATGGTGGAAATAAAGACTTGGGTCGTTAATTAATATTTTTTATTAATAGACTGACGAATAGTATCTGACACTGTCCGAAAGTATTGCGGAATTTTTAAATGGACACCGGGCTTCAGGATTGAGTTTGAAGGGACGGACGAAAGTCCAAATGGACGATATAACGCTCGAAGTGGGATTGAATCAGTATTCAAGCGTTATCGCGTAGATCATCCGGAAACTCCGGGAAAACCGTGCGTACGAAATTTGAATTCGAATCGTTATTTCTCTTATTTCGCCTGGAATTACTCGAGCCAAGTGAGCTGTTCGAGCTCCACCCGAGAGTTATTCGAATCTTTCGAATATATTCGAGCATTCGCGCATGCAAACGCGAAAGATGATCTCGTTTGCAGTCCTGCGTCGAAGTTAATCAATTAGTCCGTGTTCTGGCGCGATCGTCGTCGGAACCGATGCCGAAAACTGACGAGAGATCAGCGCAGTGGAGATTGTCGTCCGCGATAAGGGGGTGCTCTCTTCTACTTCCGTTGTTATCGAACGGCAAGCGAAAATGAAAGAGATACAATCGTAGCCGCGCCCACAATTTCTCGACGCTTCGATGCGCTTAAAAAGAAATCCGGTCGCATCCCGCATGGGTACTCGACGCAAAATTCTCCGGCATCCGGGAGAGTGAAACGCGGTAAAAAGTTTCGCGTTAAATCTAACACGTTTCACACGTCCCAAACGGCCCACTCAGATCGTTAATTTAACACAAAGTAAATATGTCGAATTAACGCAAATATTATATCCAAAATCAACGAAAAATTAATGCGTTAATCGATATTGAAGTATAAAACGTCCTATTTTAATATTTACACATGCTAAATATCGACGCAACGTAACATTTTGAACGTAATGTGTTAACACTCGGGTATGTTAAAGAAAGAAATAGAAAAATTTCAACGAGGAGCAATTTTAACGCAAGCGGAAAATGTTTTTATCCTGTATCCGAGATACTGTGCGTATCCGGGAATATCCCATTCGGATACATTCGCGCTCTCCGAGACGCCTGAATGCTGATTCGACGAGAGGTGGTGTAGTCGGCGTCACGGAGCGACCGGAAGCTGTCTCTACCGGTGAAACTATTGAATACCCTGGATCGACAGGTACAAACACACAGGCCGGAGGGAACTCGACGATCGGATCACCCGTGAGTCCTTCATCGAGTATTCCTTTTCTTCTTCTTCTTCCTCGGCAATTACTTGTGGAACGACTTATACAAGCGCTAATGCCATCGAATTTCTAATCCGTTGTCCGCGCTTCGCGGGTATTTCGCGATACACTAATACGATGTACATTCAGATAAGAATATAGACGGAGCAAGCAAACGAGCCACGAGTCAATACGACGGTTCGTTTTACACGCCACGGCGAAACGCAGTCTGAAAAGTGGTCGAGACCTTGAAATCTTGAGGAGGAATTACTGCGAACGGTCTTCTGGGTCGACGTTTCTTCCCCGGTCGGCGGTCTGTCCAGCTCCTCGACATCGATTCACCTCGATTACTTCAGTTTTTGTATTTTTCATTGCAGCAGCTCACAGTATGTTTCGCTTCGGCGACGATGCGCTCCTGCGTGAGTCGTTTGTGTGCTCCAAAAGCGCGACGCTTTCACGCACAGGTACTACGTTCGATTTTGTGTTCTCTGCATAAGGTTCGGGTTTTCTCCCGAGAAACATCTCCGGAGGCCTCAGCGTAACGAGAGCGACTCGACGGAGAGGGAAACCGAAGCGGCGTTACGATAGTTCTGAAGAAGAGGTCCAGGGGTGGCCGGCACCTCCTCGATCCTCTCCAAGTCGTTGGCCGCGCCTGCGCTGTTTTGCTTGTAGAGACGAGGCGCCGATCTCTGGCTGCTAGACTGCTCCGAGATTGCCGACGTCGGCTCGTCCGGACGGTCCAGACTGAATTGCCTCTTGAGTATCCGGCATCCGGGACCTTTCCCTGGAATCAGAGATGTCAGAGTTCACGGTGGCATTTGGTAGACGCCGAAAATTCATTAATGCCAAACTCAAGAAATCTTGGAATTAAAGAAGATGTATAATCTAAATCTATCTGAGAAATTGGCAATAATTTAGATGTAGATAAATTTTAAATGTACATGGGGAAAAAAAGATTGGTTGAATTAATGTGACAATGAACTAATCAAACGCGTTTTGATTGAAGGAATCAGAATTTCTAGTTTTTATGAACTAAATTTGATTCTTAGGATCAGAAATTCTGTCCTCTTCAACGAAAACGCGTTGGGTTCGTTCATTGTCGCGTTAATTCAACCACCCTTTTTTCCTCGTGCACAACAAAAAATATCGATCAAAGTTAGGGCTGTTCGAAACTATATTTAGAAATTAAGATCTGAAATTAGGATATTTAGCGCTCGTGCATTCACGAGAAACATCAATTTGTAACTGGACATGTTTAATTAAGATCTTAAAAATAAACGAAGTCTGTGCACGTCAATTGACGCTAAATTTAATCTTGAAAAATCGATTCTTAGGCCTGTATTAATAATTGTACTTGAAACTTAAAACTTGTCTCACGTGAGATACGCAGATTTTAATTCGGGCTTAAATCTGTGAGTTTTTTATTTAAACAATATATCTGACATTGTGTCTGTAATTGCAATACAATTGGAAAACTCACATCTAACTCTGAATTCTGGACTGAGTGATCTCACGTGAGACAAGTGAGTGTCGAGTAATAACCATTAATACGGACTTTAGATTTCAAGGTGAGCCAAGAGTGAGACACTGAGATCTGTGATGCGAGATTTTCATTCATCGTGAATACGTACCGTGATGCTCGTTGGGCGACAGACATCTGTAGTAGTTGTACGGCGTGCTGAGGTCTTTCTCGTCTATGCAGCCGGCGAGCCTTCGAAACCTCGGCGGTTGTCGGTACGTCGCCGAGCTGGCGATCGACGTGAGCGAGCTGGTGGACGCGCCGAGGACCGTTGACGTCGGCTCGCCGCCGGACGACATCCCGAGGGAGACCTGGGTATCGCCGGATGTGCTCTTGGTTACGCCGTGAGACTCGCACGTCTTGGTGACCGTGTCTTGTCTTCCCGACAGCACCTCGATGAAGTCGTTGTTAGACTTCAAGGAGTAACTGGACAGCAACGTGCGTTCGTCGTGCACGGAAACGGCGACCTTCCTGGTGCCGGCCTCTTCGAAGGACCCGGCTCGACTGTCGCTGTTAGCTAACCCGCTGCTGACTGAGTCGTCCCTGTTGACCGTGGCCTCGACCGCTATCTCTGGCTCCTCGTGCGTATCGTCCTGCGACGGGATCACCGGCAATTGCGAGCCAGCTGAGTCGCTCGACAATCCGCTCTGGTGGCTCTCCAGGGTCAGGCTCTCGTCGCGCCTTCGAAGGTTCAGGGGAGACTTTGAGTCGCTTGTGTCACTTCGGGGTTCTCGCGATAGTCGATAAACGCGAGTCGATGTGCGCCACGGCGGTACAAATTTTTATTTTTCCATATCGGAAAATGGAGAAGAAAAAAATGAAAATGAATATGTATGTGGAGAGAGAGAGAGAGAGAGATGGTAACTAAAATTCGGTGACTGTGAAATTGGGTTACTTTGGTGCTGCGGATACTTTTTTTACGACTCTCCGATCTGAAAGAGATTTCGGACTTTATGTCGTATTCTGTAGTCCACACTTTCGAAGAAGAATAGGATATCTCGAACTTTTGTTTCACCCGAGTCTATTTCCGTTCTATGCCGTTCAACGACATTCGTGCGCTGAAAGTGCGGACGTGAGAATCTTTGGGGAGGGGTGGGGGGATTTCGATGCGATAGGCATTCCCGATACCGGCGGACACAGGTGTCTCGAATGGGTGTTTATTCATAAGCGATGTGGCGCACTTGTATTACGCCCATAGAAACTCGCAGAAACAGGAGACATGACTTACTAAAGGTTACCATAGTCGCGACAGGAGTGATATTATCGTTCCGCCGAAAAAGAAATGACTGTTTTTCAAAGGAAAGATAAAGTCGAGCGGCGATAAGAGAGGTGAATTTGAAATTAAAATGAGATCTTGACGTAAACGGCATTTCGACGTCGGCATTTCGAAGTGGAGGCTCATTCGTGCGCCATTTCAGTTCTACATTATATGAGAAAACCGAGAGGGATCGATAATATTTTTTATAAATACATACCTGAACCATTACCGTTTAAATAAGAAAAATTGACGGACGCGTTATTAGACAGAATGATAGATAGACGGGGCGTTAGAAAGAGTTATTGTGGGAGCATATTGACGCGGTGAACATGATATATTCAAGCCCTCTCGCCGAACTGTATCTGACGCGGTCCGTGGAAGATTGATCAAAATGTGAAATGATATGATCGATTCGAGAACGAGTCGACTGATTTCTTTACGACTCTACTCACCCGTGGTTCTCCCTGAGTATAGCGGCAGAATGGCAACAGATAAAAGGATTAAATATCTGGAAAGTAAATAGGACAAATAAAAATACACACACTATACCAGAAATTCGAAAAACTCCTCCACAAATTTCTCTATCCAAACTGCTCGTGTAGTCGAGGGAATAATGATTACATGCATATAATTAATTAATATTTATAAGTAATATCTCTAGTTCGTTATTTGATTCAAATACAATCTCACGCCAGCAGGGATATGGTTTTTTTAAATATTTAGCATTCAGTGAGAGTAATTAAAGAAGTCGCCGAGAAGGAACTTCTCAGTTTGTTCGAGAGTAACTGAAAGGCGTGCCGCTTCCGTCGCTCGCGTGGAAACCGTTCTCTATTTAATTCTTCAGCTCAGCCGTCGCTGAAGGAACCGATACGTCGATTTCACATGGCAATTCTTCTCAGATTTGACTCCGTCAGCCGCGTCGCCGTTTGAAAGGTTGCGCGAAGGGTCGGGAAAACAGACCGCATAATATAAGGCGTTAATCCTAAGGATACGCGGCTCTTTCCTTTTCCGCCACGCTACGCAAGTAGGTCAATTTTTGCCCGTGGGTATTGTAAAGAAAAAAAAAAAAGGGGAAGAAAATAGTTCTCGCGCGAGTAAACTTGGCCGGTACATATCATTTTTACGGATACGTCGGGCAACTGAAATATAAAGTGTAAAGTAGTAAAAGTCCGCGAGATAGAGGGGGAGAGAGAGGGGGAGAGTGAGAAGCCGCTGGGAAAAAAACTTAACGCGGCGGACGCGGTAGCGCGCGAGTCGGGAACTCGCGACTTATTGTTACATAATTAAAAACTCCCGGGCGCGCTTCTCTCTCCCTTCCTCCGGTTTAACCGAGGAAACAGAGCGCTCTCGTTGATTAAATAAAACCCTCGTCTCCGTGACGATTCGGAATGCGAGAGGTCGAAGGTGCCCGGTGGGGAATTTGCTCCCTCGTCGACCGAAACGTCCGGACGCGGGGGTCGAATATAAAGAAGGTCCGCCGCCGCGATAAATTGAGCTTCATAACGTCGGATGTTGCGTCGGCGTTAAATCACGGTGGTATTGAGACGTGCGTCTGCCGGAGGAAGCGCCCGGGACTCATCGTCAGTGAGTCGAGGCCCGGACGTCGGTTTCTGTGTCCGAAAAATGTAAAGAGCGATGAAGCTTACCCGAGGGGCGGCGGCCTGGGCAGCTCCTTGTCGAAGCCTTGCTTGCCGAGCAGCCAGTAGGTCGGCATCTTGCCTTTCCCCTTGACATCGGTGGGCCCGCGGTATTCAATGTGGTATTCGCCGACCTGCGTCAATCGATCTCTCGTCGCCTGGCTGAGATGGATACGCCACGGCGCGCCGGTCGACTCCATCCTCGAGGCGGTGTTCACCGTGTCGCCGAAGAGGCAATAACGCGGCATCGTTAGCCCCACCACGCCGGCACAGCATGGGCCTGGGAGGGGGGAGGAAGAATTCCTTAACCCTTTAGCGCTCGCTCGCTCGCGCGTCCCCGGATGGGATATTCATGAATTAAAGAGGGAGAGGATGAAGAGGCGAGGAAGAACCGTTTAGCCGCTTTCCGCGATTCCCGGCTGGCGGGAACGAGCCGAGCGCCGATTAAGATTCATTATAACGCTGCTCGAATTGATCGTTTTTTTTTGTGTCGTCATTGATATACGCGAAGGTTTTGGACTTTTTTTCGCAGCCTGGGCTCAAGGAAGATCGTTCGCAGGGTGGTTGCTAACCCGTATGAAGACCGATGCGTAGCCGGAGCGGCGTGTCCGGCAGATGTTTTAGCTTGAACTTTCCGCTCTGGTGCAGCAGGTCAAGCGCCATGGTCGCTACTTGGGACGCGTGATCGGGTATTCTCACGGGACAGCCACCCACGACCATGTAAGCGTCACCAATAGTTTCCACCTGTGATATTCGAACACACACGTTGTTTCGGTATTATCGGGATCCGCCGATCCTTTGATGTAATCTGATTATCACTGTGTTCGTAACGCGCGCGCGCGCCCCTCTCGTGTTATCTGTCCATTAATACCGCGCAGTGCCATTTGTGTCTTTACTCACGGGCGGAAGACCGGCCGGAAGCGAAAGGTGTTTTCGTTACTCACGTGGCGTAGATCGAGCGACTAGAAATTTCGTCATTTGTTGTAAGCTTGTGTACCTCGGAGAGAGAGAGACCGTAAAACGCTCGGAGGAACGATTGTGACAAACGGGAAAATCAACAAAGCGTTGTTTACATTCCAGGGGAGAGGGAAAAACAACTTTCGCGCTTTTGCATTTTACATTTTGCATTTTATTTTCTCGCGTATGCGCGCGAGACTCCCCCGGCTGCATGCAGCGTTGCGTATAAATTAGTTCGAAAGAGAGAATATTGTTTAATTTCATTCGATACGCGCGACACGACATCGGGGAATAAATTCCGCGCGGGGAAACATTCGGCTGCGCTCTTCCACGATTGGATTTACCTTGTAGACCGTGTACGCGTTAATTGTGTCGTCGAAACAAGTGTACAGATCGTTGAGGAGATCGACCACCTGAAAGGGCGTCGAGCGCGCGGATATCGTCGTGAAGCCGACGATGTCCGAGAAGTAAATCGTGACCTCGCGAAACTCCTCGGGGTCGACCGGCATGCCGAGCTTCAGTTTTTCCGCGACCGAGCTGAAAAACACCGAAGATTGAGGCTTGATTTCTCACCGAGAATCTTGCGACATCGATATTTGAAAGGGTGGAAGCGGAACGTGAGATGCGAGAGAATTTAATGACATTGTATCTAAATGAAACCGTTTAAAACGTTAAAGCGTTAAACGTTAAACGCGTTAAAGCATTTCTCATTCTCAATTCTCAAGACGAACGAGAAGGGAAACACAACTGAGTACCCCGTTGAAATATCAATGGAGTGTAAATAAGTTACTTTCGATCAAATTGCATTCGCGAGCTTCGCGGGTACTTCGATATTCCTGTTCGTTTACCTAGGCAGCATTCTGTTCAACAATTGCTCAGTCTTTTTCTTCTCCATGTCGAGCTGCTCGGTACGCTCGCGAATGAGTTCCTCCAGGTTGTTAGAGTACTTCTCGAGCATTTGGAACATCGTGTCCACGAAGTTCACTTTTCTGAAAATAAATGACGGGGTGACTGATGGCCGTATATATCCATTCAACGGGACGTATACTTTTCTCGCGCTAATGAGCCTCGCTTCTTCTCTCTCTCTCTCTCTCTCTTCAGCGTAATCAATCATACAGTTAATTACGCGTAACGGATCACTGTACAATGTAGTTAATTATTGTTATTTAATTAATTATTGAGCCTTATCGGCGCGCGGTTTACAATCGGTACTCGTCGGAAGGGGATTGCGCGGCGAAATCACTCGAGCTATCGAATCCTGATTAGATCCATGAGAAATGGATTTCCACGGCGCAGCCTTTATTGACGTTCCAGGCAAGGGTATATCCGGGATATTTCCGCCCCTGAGGGCACAATACCTCGGGCTTGGATGGTGGTTTTACCTTCCGTGATTGAGCTTCTTGAAGAGATCGTGCACGTCGTCAAAGTCCGGTCTCATCTCCTCAGTTTCCGCCCAACACTGGCGCATGATGTTTATGGCTTCCGGCGGTGCAGCACCCTTGCTGACCGACGGTCTGATTAGCGGCGGTGGCTTCATCACTTTCTCGATTATATCTGCGGGATACGGAACATGCGGTCCTCGGATGTTAGATAGCATCCTGCTTTTAGCGCGTCACCGACAATCGACCGTGTCAACGCGAGATTTCCAAGTTTCCTACTTCACATTCGACTTGTATTCGCACAATCACGAACAATTGACGTTAATGGAGCGGAGAAGGTGGCAATGAACGATCGAATCTTTGAACTTCAATGATCAAAAAACGATCTCCTCGGGATTTTCTGCTTACGATATTTGTTAGAGAATTTATTGATACATGTTACAGGAGAAGCACCAAAACTGACATAACATTTTGTTTTTAGGCACAAAAGCCCTGTTAAGGTGTAAAATTAAAATTGATGTGTATAAACGCAAACCAGCAACATTTTTCCATCCAATATATGATTTCCAATGTATAATAGTCTTATAAAAATTATTACATATTTCCTTGCAAATAATTATTTTTTAAGATGGTCGAGAATGACATTTCTAGAAACTTGGACCCAAAACCGACATACCCATGGTATCTATAAAAAATGATTAAAAAAATAAAACAAAAGCATTGAAATTACATTATTTTGTACATTTATTATATATCTTACTTGTTATTTTTAATCTTATATATTTACGTATTTTGTATATTATTAAACTTTTAAAAACTTGATGACAATGATATTATTTTATTATGTGGTGTCTTATCCTTTCCGACTGTCTTAAACAAATAAATAAGGAAAACAAGAAAAAAATCCAATCACCGGTAACATCGACTGTATTCTATGAAACATATGAAAATATTTACACAGCCAAATTCAGATATATCGATGGAAAGACCAATAATCTCAGATATATCGGATTATAAAACAACCTAATTTTCCTCGCCTGGTTCGATGACAGATAATAGATATTAGCACAAATTGTTTAAAAACATCAAAGTTCGCGTTATAAAGTATCATTATTAAATAAATTATTTACCGCTGGTAATGGTGTAATTTAATTTGTGTAATTTAATTTTCACAAGAATTTGAACAAAAACTTCAGCACAACGAAAAACCAAGTGACATGAATAACACAATCGAACGCGCTTACAAACAGAAATTGCCGCTTCAATTACTCCAACTACTGTGTATACAGCAGATGAAATTAATATTCTGCCCGACAAAGTTCAATATTTTACAGCAGAGAAATATGAATATGTTTACCATACCTACGTATGTCAGTTTCAGTGTTTCTCCTCTGTGATTTTGGAACGACAACTGGAAAGAGACTTTTAGTATTTCGACGTACTAACAGAAATCACGCGGATATTACCTTCCGGAGACAGGGCGAGCATACAAAACGGTTCTCCGCGGACAACGACTTCCTGCATAATAATTCCGAAACTGTAAACGTCTCCCGGTTGGGTCCCCTTTTTCTGCAGATTCGGGTGCCTAAGCAGTTCCGGCGCGGTCCATAACAGGTCTACCGAATAATAAGCCGGCGGTTACTATCGGAATTAATATCCGCTCGGATACGCGCGCTTAATCGAATAAAATTCTAATGGCGCGCTCATTAGCGGAACGCCATTGTGCGCACGGTGAAATCTCGCATTTTGCTTTAAACGTCTTCAATTAGCGGAACATGCCATCAAACTTTTAATTAGCGTGACTTTGTGTAGTAGCACGGCTAATCGTATAATAAAATTTCCGAGTAAGACGGGAACACTTGATAACGGAGTTTGACAAGCGTCAAACTTCGCTTAATTTAAGTATGCTATTAGTACAAGAGCTATTAATTTGCCGCAGTAACAAGAATGTCTTTGCGATTTTGTATAAATTGTCACAAATCGCTTTGAAATTATTGAAGTTCCGATTTAAAGAGTTGTGTCGTGAAATATATCATGTAAAACGCGTGCGCGTCGACGGAGGAGGTTTTAACGGGACAACGCAAGAGAGAGCGAAACGAGCAGCTTACCCCGAGCTGTTTTAGTCGGTGGTACTATGTTCTGTGCTTCATAAAACGCAGGCAGGCCGTAATCGGTGACTTTCAAGACCCATCTCGCGTCGATCACGCAGTTGCGCGAAGTGAGATAGCCGTGAACACGCATCGGGGTGCCATGCAGGTATTTCATCCCCTGAAAACATAAGAATTCCACTTGAAACATCGTAATTCAAATTGGGGTGGGAGATTTTCGGGCCATCTAATAGTAATTAAGACACCTTAAATCTTAAATATTAATAAGGGAATTAAGTAGCAAATCTTCGACAACCTTCAAAAAATCGATTTTTGGAAGTTGGTATTTTTTTAAGTACAAAAATAATTAAGTACAAAATGTGTAAAATGTGTACAGAAAGAAACCGAAGAAGTCTATGAAAAGAATGTAAAAGACGTTTTTTCGCGAAAAGAAACCGAAATGAACGGGTTTCCAAGCCTTTAAAAGTATAGTATAAATAATTTAAGAGGAGGTAGCAGATCGACAATCTTAAAAAAGTCGATTTTAAGAGCTGGCGTGTTTCTGAAATACAAAGTGTATAGAATATATACATCAAATTATATTTCCGGCAGCTGTTAACAAAGTTATGGAGCGCAATTTCCGCTGTGGCACGCTAATATACGTCTCGAGTCCTTCCTATGTTCTTGAATGCATTACGAACATATTCAAGAACGAATGGGAGAAAGATTCTGTGGCTGTAAAAAGAATTACGAAGGCCTAGACGTAGGTAAAGACAAGAAGCGACAATTAACCCTTAGCTGACACACGTCAAAATAATAACGTACGTGCTATAGGGGGTATTTTGGACCCCAGCGAGAAAAAATGTGTATAATTATTTTATTTATCAATATTGGGTTAAGCCTCGACTAATACTAGGTGACGTCACAGAACCAAATTTGGCGCGCAGCTATGGAAAATTTGCGTTCAAAAACACACTGGGGTACTTTTAACCCTGTGTGTCAGCTAAGGGTTAATTGACAAATTAATAACTTATACTTATTATACTTATTACTTGCAATCAGACGAAGTTGTTAATCTGTGGACGAAATGAGAAAAGTAATTTGGGCCATGTATTATTATTATTATTGTGTGATATGAACGGACGAACAATTGCACAGCAACAGCTATTACCCACAAAGCGAATTTATGATGTGATTGGCAGTGCGTGAACGCCGCAAACACCTTGGATCAATATAAACATAAACCTACTCTTCATGACGCAGGTGCTACTGCAATTAAGCTAATTAATGCGGATTTAAACAATAATGACTTATTAGAGCGATGCGTTGGAAGTTTCTCTTAAAACAATAAAAGACACGATATCTCATCAATTATCCGACCGATTTGAATCAGTTTTTAACAGTATTTTCTACACTACTTTATTTTGTCTTTCACGTAAGACTTTTTATTCAACGTGTCTAGTTTCTTCTTATTAGCAAAAATATCCGGAATATTTTTACGAAAATTGCGTGTTTGCTTTCAAACAGACGGAGTTTTCTTAAAAATGCACAAATCGAAAATCGGCTACGTGGAAAGAAAGATTTAAATTTCCTCTTCAAATTGGTCACGCCACTGTTACATTCAGACCATCTATGAGGCGTTCAAGACACGTTCAAGACACGTGTCCCACAAACAGTTTCCGATCTTTGTCGAAATTCTTCCGTCCCGCGAATCCCCCACCTTCGTATCGTGTCGCAACCCGTGTCCTACTCACCCGCACGAGATCGGTGAGCAGGGATAATCTGAAAGACCAGTCGAGTTTGATCTCGTCTTGGACAAGCACGTCCTCCAGGGAGCCCCTCGAACAATATTCCGACACTAGGCAAGGTCTCGTAGGTTCGTTAAGGCATCCAATCAGGGGATTGAGGTTCTCGTGCCGCAGCCCGTGAATCTGGCCAAAAGTGGAAACGCGAAATTAGTGGGATCTGTTTCGGGCGGATCTATCTCTACGCAGAATTATGAATAAAAAGGTGTGTGCCTTTACCGTGACCAGCACGTCCATGGCCTTGTTCTTCAGTTCGAACGTACCTTGAACGGGCAGCTCCTTCAGTTGCACCAAGTCACCCTATTAGAAATCAGAACGGTGCGATTAACCGACCGACGTCGACACGGTGCATCCTGTGGGCCGAGTATCCTGCGACCTCGGTCGTTTCGGTGACGGCATGCTCGGCGGCGCGCGGTTTAAGTAATGAGGATTTACGCCGGCTCTTACGGGATATTTCAATACCACCTTATCAATCTCGATTAGACGCGAGAGAACGTTCTTATCGGTCTGATCTTATTATGGAAACTGCGGCAGATTAATCAGTGTCACGATATAAAGGGAAGACCCGTCGTCTGCGTTTGCGACGCGCTAAAATGAATATCGATGTGTACCTCGGAGTATATTCTTGGCGCCTCCGCGCATAATGCCGCGCGCGTGCGTCGAGCGGAAAATTCGCGGAAGTGATCAACGGTGAAATTGACGCGCGAGGGTGAGCGTGGCCGAGGTGGAACGTCGATAAACCCTCGAAAGCGCATTACGAGACATCTCCGCTCTTACTTTCATTGTGTGTGCGTTCCTCCTCGCCGAAGTACGATCGCCAAAGCAAAGCTCGGTATATCAGGAAAAGCGAGAAGCACGATTTCCACGATATTCCCGGCCACGTCGTGCCGGCTCCTTCGCCAGGTGTGTATCGGAGTTAGTCGACTCGATTAGCGGGTTTGCCTCGATCGAGGCTGAGGAAGCCTCTCGGTGGACGAAGGCGATTTTCGCGCCCAGTTTCGCGGCAAAATGAATCGAGAATGCAGCCCGTTATTGGCGCGATACTTACGTTATACCTGGCGCGTGGATCCTTGAAGAAAGTGTGCCGCGGCAAATTCCCGCTGTTGGCCTGCAAGTAAGGCCTGAGGGAGTTCACGCTTCCCAGCTGGAGCAGATCCGGCTTCTCGACTTCCGGGCCGCCGAACTCCTGCAGCTGCTGCAGCCAGCAGCACAGCATCGCCTCGATGCCCTCGTCTACCTGAGAGCACACGTGAGCCGCGCCGCGCGATAAAGTGCTTAACGCGAAAACCACTCGAGCGATACGTATACGAAGGTAATAGGATCGAGATAGATATATACACAATGCCGCCGCTGGAGAGGAGAGGGTCGGTCCTAATGCGATTCGGGCCTTGACATGAAAAGGACCACGAGAGTGCGACGAAAAAAGATCCCAAGAGGAGCTAAGTGATATTTTATTTCCACCGAAGGGAAGACGCCGAGGAAGAATCTCTTTATGTTTGTCTCGTACACTTTAAAACTCTTACCTACACCTCTTACGCCGTTTTTTCACCTTCGAAATGCGGAGCTGCCTTCATCTCGGCGAAAAATAATTTTCTAGAAAATATGACATTCTCTCTCTCTCTCTCTCTCTCTCTCCCTGCGCACGTGTTCGCGTGATATTCCTTTTTATCTCAAGTATTCAGCCGTAAAAGCGTAGAACCACGAGAGATTAAGTGTCATTTCTCAAGTATGAAGAATACGACGACGTAAAAGTGGTTTAACGTCCAGCGTAATAGCGGGGTGTGTTTAAAGTTCGCGTCGGTCGGTTCAATGAAGCCCGGTGAACCAATGTAGCGCTGACATTTAACACTTCTTTCTTTTTTTTTTCACCGACCACTTCTGCCGCGCCAACTGGTAATTTAGGAACTCGCGTATCGTGCGCAGCCGTTCTCGCGTGAAATATATCCTTCCAGGACTGTGTAGCGATCCTTTTTCCCGTAGATAAAGTACGTCGGGAGGGATTTTACCCCGCCCGGTGGCGAGGAAAAAGTTAGTGCTAACACAATTCCGCAATCGTGACCCAACGACGATTCGCGAGAAACTGTTTCCGACGGATCAGGACTTCATTTCGGGCGCGCGGTAAAACGCAAATAGCGGTGTAAAATTTTGCAACGTAGCCTGCCGAAACCGGTAAGCCTTGATCCGTGCCACATATTCCTTTTTTTCCCGAAAATCTCCGCGATGGAACGATCGAGGATACTGACTGAATGAATCGGAGTCGAATTTCGTTAGTAATTCCGTTCGTTGTGACCCTTAAAGACGTTGGTGGGACTGAGAAGTTAAAGACTTATGCATTGTGCGTCAAGCGGGATCCCACTCACCGTTCTCGAATCTACTGGAGGCACTTGAGGGAAAACGAAGTCCGACGTCGTCAGGATGATTTTGTACGGCCCCTTGGACATCCTCTTCTTGATCAGGTGCTTCCTGCAATGCATCGTTAATCTTTTTATTATTAAACTCTTGAACCACTTTAGGGCCTTCGGAACGGGTCAGTTTCGAGATTCAGGCTATCTACATTGTATTCTTCATTTTTTACTATATTTAACACATTACGTGAAAAAATGATGCAATAATAATAATAATAATAATAACAACATGGTATTATATATTGAGAATTATATTACACTTGCATTAAGGTTATAATTAACATTTGAATTAAACTGTCGTTTTTCCATATTCATTTAATTTCAACGTGAAAATATTCGAAATAAATAAAGAACGGAAGAAGACTCATCGCTCGTATTTCCTTCGTCCATTGTACCAATTGTAATCTAGAAACGGTACTGAATAGTTGTAAGAGTAATATATTCATGAGTCGTGACGAGAGCGTTGAAAAAGTCTGAAACCGTATGGTTACCGTATAGTTACCGTATAAATAGTGCGTACGCGTGCGAAAGGGATAAAAGGCATGGTCACTTCCTACGGTTCGACCAGGATCTATTAATGAATACGAGTACAAGGTGATAAAGTGATCGCTCACCGGACTATAATCGCGATGGCGATGGTGACAAAGGTGAACAGCAGCGACCCCAGAATAATAGCTACGATATGTGTGATGCGGAAAGACATGTCGGCCAAGCCACCTGCTGAATAACGAATTTATTGCGTTACTGCGTTACGACGTCGTCCTTCTTAAGGGTGATATTTTTGGATTCGAGGGAGCCGTCGTCACTTGATTGACGCTCGGCGCTGCAAAGATAGCCTACCCTTCGCACCTTTCTTCAGCCCGCAATAATACCCGTCCTATATTTAGCAATACTTTCCTCGATAGCGCGTATCACACCGGCGTGCCGCACGTATATTGGCTGAGATTTTAATAAATAATAAATAAAATCTTTCTCTTAATGTCGCTTTTATCAGCAAAAAATACATAGGTTGTCGGCTATGTATAATTAATAGAGCATCACCCGTGAGAGGTGGCTTATATCATTATCATAAAAATTATTATAAAAAGATGTGTAACTTGCAATGTTAAATCTCGAGGTATTTCGAAGAGAACCAAGAAAGTATACGCGAGCGTAAAATATTTCGGCCGATATTCACAATCTAATATTCAAGATTGTCTTAAGTTTATCTTCAGATGCTACACAGCTCGTTTTATTGGTTACGAGACATCTGCAGACGAACTTAAGACGGTCTTAAATATAAGATCCGACTATAAATACCGCCCTTAAGTAGAAAGAGATACTGCGTGTCCGCCCGCGAGCTAAATATTTCTCACGAGCATCGTTCAGCAGACAACGTAAGTGAATTACCTGGTCAAATTGTCGCGTATATTTACAGTATAGGAGCAACATGTATCCATCTCATTTACTTCGCTCTTATACTCACCCCCGCAGTCGGCGTCGTCGTCGCAGGACAGCAGATCGGGGCTCTCGACGTTGAGGAACGCCACCGCGCTCGGCGTCAGCTGTTGGACCAGCAACCGCTGATGCCGCTCGACCACCGCGAGAATCGGCTCCCAGCCGGTGTCGCGCCAGTCCATTAGGGCGTACGTGTACATTTTGTTGTTGTGGCTGTCGATACTGCTGTTGTCGCGCGTCAGCACGGCCAGCGACTCGTTCAGCCGGTCGAGCAACGCCACCGTCGCGTAATCCTGCGTGCCGTTGAAGACCTTTCGCACGTCGTACCTGCGTGCGAGAAAGACACACGGTGAGAGGGAGAGAGAGGGAGAGAGAGCGGCCTCCCGTACGAGGCTTCTTGCACGAGGAGGCGACGCGGCGTCGCGACGCCCGGCTAGTTCCTCACGCGAATTAATCACGGATCCGCATTACACGGATCGACGCTCACAATTAACTCGACTCGACAATCCGACATGCGCGATTTGTATTATAATTCGGGGGAACGCGGGATTCCGCGCAAACACGATGGACGAAATCCACGTCTCGTGATTACGCGGAGCTCCCTTGAACTCCTTCGACGGGGGTAGGGGGGAAACTTCGATCGAGTAGATTCCGCGATTTGCGCTGCGTGGAAAATGGATTCGTCAAACACGGCGTTTTTGCGTTAAATAATCGTTAAGTACCGAAGATACGTTTTAGCAAAAAGAATTATATATGTAGGGCTGTATCTTGGATTTACTTTATCTTGGATCCATGTCGATTTCAGGTCTTTATCCAGTAATCTTTTCACTTTGCTAATGTGGTAATTCATTGTCGCTATAAATGAGAATTTCGACGGTGGACACAACGAATAATCGCATTATCGAAGCGAAAAGATCACTGGATAAAGCGCTGAAATCGACGTGGATTCGAAGTAAAGTAGACCAAAAGTACAACACTTTCCTCTGGACACACCGAGGAAACCCATTTAGTCGACTGAAATTAAATCCTTGTTTGAATATGGGCAAATAAATATTTATAAGAATCAAGGTTTAGTTTGGGATTTTCCTCTTTCATTATTCAAATAAGAATTTAGTTTAAGTCAACTAAGTGGATTTTTCAGTATATGACAGATAAGTGATTCCGAGTTCGAACATATTAAAGATTTTTCTTCGACTAAGCAGATTCAGATGTCGACGAAAAAGATTGCATTAATATATCACTGGTATTTTTAATCACAAACACTTATAGAGAGGTTTGTTAACAGAGGTTGCGCTTGTTGTATTTCTAACCTCCGTCGAGGTTTTTCCAATGTTTTCTTTCAATTTTACTTTCTGCGAAGTTTCTCGGGGCAATCCGCGCAGATACTCCGAATCCGAAATGGTCCCGCTCACATAGGCAGCTGCATCGACTGGGAGTTTCTTTAAGCTAACACCATCAATAAGCGATTACCTTTGATCGAGTGGCGCGACCGCGACTAGGTTCTCCGTCGTGGCACTGCTGAGGTTTCTCGGCGGGAAGAATCTCCGCGGAGTTTGCACCCTCCGCACCCCCTCGTCGTCCTGCGGAGTTGCGTACCGACTATTGCGAGTTATGTTCGACGTAGAAAAATTGGAAGACTGAGTAATCGCGAAATGTGCCAAGGTCGATGGATCGGTGGTAAGCGAGGTCGGCGAGTCGTCCTCCGGGAGGAACAAGTCGATATCCTCCGTGTGGATCATCAGGATGACGGAGTTCTGGATGTGCGTTTGCCAGGCGACGTCCAGCTCGATCAGAACGCGATTCGTCATCTCGTCAAATAGCGGCAGGCAGAGCACCGTGGCTGATGAAGGACAATTATTAGGTTTAGGCGCGCGTGTATGTGTGTGTGTGTGTATGTGTGTGATAGGCGCGTGTGTACGTGAATAAATGTGACTGTTGCCGCCGTGTGCCTGTGTGATTGTGCAAGAGAATTCGATATGTTTGCGAATAAACAAAGGGTGGAAGATCCAGGCGAGCCCAACACGCCAATTGATGATAGTAATTGAATTATTCATTATGTGGCGTCGTCATCCATGATTATCTGTCAGAGTTTTACTGATCTGCGATTCAGCGGTCGCGTTGGTAAGAAAGGACGAGGCGAAACGGATCTATCTGTTTTATTTTGAATTCTCATTCTTCGCAAGAGATATATAGATAGATAGATAGATAGATTTATTTATATTCTGGAATGAGACACATTTAGGTACACTATTAATAACGAATTCACAAAAAATATATATATAAGTGGTTATGAGTAATACAAATAATAAAATATAAAAAGAAACAAAACACATTTGTGAATAAGTATAATAGGAAAATAATTGAGAACAAAATTATCAGTGAATGCATGACAACTTTAAATCAAATGTGCAGTGATTTATAATAAGTACTTGCAACAATATATATTCATGAAGCTTTAAGAGTATAGGTAATAATATTAGAAAAAATGAAAAATAATTATACACAAAATAAGTATAAGAAAATTATAAGTAATGATTTCAAATAAGTAGTCTAAGCAGAAACAGATAACAGAAAATGAATATATGAGAGAGAGAGAGAGAGAGAGTCGAAGGATAAAAGAAGTTGTGTGATAATTAGCGATTAAGATATCCTTCTCTATTTAATTACATTATTCAGAATACACACCACGACTCTATCCAGAATACACATGGAAATTCTATTCACACAGTACACATTCAGTACACACACACATACATATACACATACACACACACACACATACATCGTTATCATCGGTATTATACTCAAGTAAGCTCCACGGTAGTTTACTCTCGTTAATCAACAAAACTTAATTCATTAGTAAGTTTGTTTTCCGTGTTGGATCGAAAGTCCCAACACCGGGAGATTAAATGCTGACGGTGTAATTGCTACGTATTGTACGCGCGATCACGTTTAGTTAAGTAGGCGTTTAATAGATTTAATGGAGTAATTTTTGAATGAGATTCAGTGGCAGTTATTGATGTTCCGATATTGAACGATATTCGCCGCCGATTCTCGCACTTGATCTTGCCACCTGAAATTTCGCCGGGTCGCTGAAAACAACGAGCGAGCGAACGACGACAGAGGAAGTCTCGAGCTAACGGGGACTAATTTCTTTCCTTTTTTATTACGCGCAGTTACGGAGCCACGTACTTGCTTATTCGAATAATAGGAGACGTTCCTTGCTCTGCGGCCACGGGCATGCATGTACGTGTAATATGAGTACGTGCGTGAGTATGTGGATGTATTATGAACGAGGAGAGATTGATCGGTGGGGCGGAGACGGGGAGAAGTAGCGGAGCGAAAAGGGCGAATCGTGAAAAATGATATATTGACTAACGACCGCGGAGGAGCCAGAGTGCTCGCGATTAAGCTTACACAGCACTCCCCTTTTTCGAAGGCAACAAACTAGGAAGAGTCCGAAACTTTAATTAAAATGTAACAAGGCCGATGCCGGGCAGTCGAAATAACGTCATATGCGCGCCGTGGGCGCGCTCGTGAAAGAGGGATGGAAAAAAGAGAGAGAGAGAGAGAGACTATTTATAATTAATATTAATTGAGTCAACGGTCAAATGAATATTAATTAAGAGCAACTTTCTTTCTGCGCTGGAAATGCAATTGTGACTTTGAAACGTCGCTACGGGACGACGAAACGAATTTCTGACGCGATAATTGAACAGCTCGAGTTCCTCCGTCGAGAATGCGCGCCGGCGAAGCTTCATTTCGGAATTTTATGCCTTTCACGAGAGAAACGATACGGCTAATTGCCGAATAATCCTTCCCCCGGGGCTCGCGAACGGGTCGCGAGCGCGGGAGCGAAACGACCGGCCGTTTCACTCTTAAGGTCGAAATTAATTAAAGCGACGAGCTCTCCCTGATTACGTCGCATCTTCTATTGAAATATACATTCGCACAGGCGCGGATGCCCGCTCTTCGAAAGTATCGCGCCGTTATCCGGCTCATTTGCATCCACGAGCGCTACCAAGCGTCGTAAATCGTCGCTAACCAAGTCGGCCGTTTCTCCTCGCGAGGCTACGAAGACGTCGATCTCGCGATGATATAAAATTCCCACGGAATTTCAAGCGGCCACGCGACGCGCGTAAACGAACCCTTGACTTGGCCTCCCTAATAAATGACTCGTTTCCCTTCGCGCCCCTTTTTCCTCCCTTTCTTGTTATTTTTCTCTTCGCTTTATATGCGCGGCGTTTAGAAAAAAACCCTGGGTTTTATCGCGTTGACTCTTCGCAGTTAAACACCCCGTATAGAACACGTCCTGGCTCTCTCTCTCTCTCTCTCTTTTTTCTCTCATGTTCCGTTGAGCGAGTTTTGCACGTATGTCTTTTTACGTAAGCGAAAACGACGGGGCGATTCCGGAAGGCGTTATTAGCTCCTGACTTTCATAAACTCGCGTACCGTGCACGCGCGTGATTTCCCGAACCTTTATGCGCTGCTTACTTCACCGGTCACACACACATACAAATACACACACACACACACACACACGCATCAGCCCGATATCCATTCAAAACGAATAAAAAGATCCGCAAACAGTGTAAACAGTTTTCTATTCGAAATCCGTTTTTCGACGCGTGTAAACAGCAATAATTCGCCACATCGTGTACCGCCACGTTCCGTTTGCCTTGTTTGTTTTTACAAAGCGGGCGAAATAAATTTCTGATCGTGCGTTAATTTGCTTTTATGCGGATGGGAGGGAAGTTTCGCGAATTTCGTCTTGGCGAACGTCGCCTTCTCGAGCCCGTCGTAAAATTAAGTCCCTCCCTCGCACAATATCGGCGCTTCTGTGCGATTTAAAAAAGGGCTCGTTCGTTTGCAATGAAATAACTCGATCGGCGGGCTCGACGTGTCAGAGAGCGAGTAAATGCGCGGGAGTTGGCTGGAAATTTATGAAACGAAATTAATGTCGGAAGTCTCCCGCAGGGAGGCGGCTCGCTGCGAAACAGCAACGGCGAAATAAACGGAATTAAACAATCAAGTCGCGAATCCCCCTCGGAACAGTTCGGATGGCGGGCAGCGTCGTCATCAAACTTACACCGTGGCGGGTCGGAACTGCCGTGAACATCCTCGATCGCGACGGGATTTAAAGCGAAGGGACGAACTCTCTTTCTCCCTCCTTCCCTTTTCATCTCGAGGGAGGTAAGCGCGCCATTTCATTTAATCTTCGATTCGATAGTTCCGGCGAGTAACTCCGATACACGGCGGGTAACGTTCGCGCAGCTCCCACACAATGGAATTAAGCGTACGCACGGTATACTGTTAGAAAAACCCATATTAAATTTAATAATCTGGCGAAGACGATTCAATAATCTCCGCAAAGTTTTCTTATATTACCAAATTGTGAAAATTAATAACCATATTGATGTCACATTTAATAATATATAATAATTAATAATACATAGTTATAAAAAGTCATATTCTGAATCCACTTTCCATCACGCGCGATTTTACGGTGCTGTAATTATTTTGTAACGTGGGCTATCGGTTCTCACAACAGTGCTCTTGAAATTTAATAACACCATTAATAATTTTTATCACATCGTTTCTGAATTATTATTACAGCGTCATTATGAAAAGTTGATTCAGAGTATGACCTTTCATAACTGCGCGTTATTAAAAATTATGTAATATCACTTTGGTTATTAGTTTTTATAACTCGGTTATGTAAAATAAACCTGGCGAGATTATTAAATTTAATATGAATTTTTCTAACGGTGTGCGCGTCTCTTCTTAGCCGGTAACATATAACGAGCGAAGACGCCCGACGCCTCCGAGGCGCCCGTATATTTCAGCCCGCCGCGACGCGGCGACTGTTGAGGCTCGCGCGGCTCGCTGTTAAATTCTACGTTATTATAATATTCGAACAATTCCAATATACCATAACGTGTTATAACATGTCATATTTAAATCCATACAAAATTATATCACATCCATAATACGTTAACCGACATTGAAGTAAGAAATGCATTATTTTAACACTTACAAGTCTTATTTCACACTCGTTGAATGTCGCGACTCACAAAGTATTGAAACAACAGAGACACGATACGTGTTAAAAATTAACGGACAATTATATCAAAAATTTCGCACAAAAACTTTAACAAGGACCGATTTTAATGCGAGTATAAAATGTTCTTTACCGTTTTTCTACACACACAGACACTTACCTCGACGCGAGACGCTGTGCAAGGACTTCAGGATTCTGCGAATTTGCTCGAGGGTGGCGTGACGGGGTAGAATCAAATGGTACCGCAGGACGACGCCGATCCTTCGAAAAGCGCTGATCACGGCGCGGTCCAGGCTGGACCACGGCTCGCGATCTGCGGCATCAGATCGGCTCGGTTAACGGGCGATAAAATTCAATAAAATTCAATACGCTCTTCGCGTAATCGGATTTCAACGGACAGACCGGCCTGCTATCCCTCTATTATTGCGCCGGCTCTACGGCACGTGGCCCGAGATTGCGATTTAATCCTTAACGCTCTCAATTTGCGATCATGACATCACGATGCGCGAAGAAGTCATACGTTACCTTCTCTCTCGTGCGGAGCACGTGGAGCAACCGGGCTCGCTCGTGCACTCGCGTTTGCCGGAATAAACGCGTTGGAAATGCGCCGCGTCATTTCCATTCCGTTTCCGTGAATTGACAGAGAGACAGGAAAATATTAACCGATCGTTACCAAAGATCATCCTTCAACGTTTCAAAGCTCTTTGCGTGAAAAAGGAAAGGAGATTTTAGCCAAGTTTTGTAAGTTATCGCGCAGTCCATCGGCGAATCGAGTACAGCTTAGCGCGAGCTCACTGCGTGTCTTATTACGGTTAACGCAAATTACATCCTCAAAACTCACTGTAACTTATGTGAGAGATTCCTTTCTTGTCATTTCTTTCGTGTCGTACAATTAAGAGATCTCAAATTATCGATCGTAAAGAAGGCTCGTGAAGGAAACTTGGTTTTATTATTATCATCCCTGTCTGTGCGCTTGTGCGATAAGAAGATTTGTCAACAATAATTACGGTTTGAGCATCATTTCCCTCTCGGGACTTACCGGTACCGATGATAGCCGCGGTTTTCCACTGCAGATGTAGGAATATTTCCGCCACGGCATTGGCCATCGACGGCAGTGACGGAGAAAGCCTAATGATCGATGAGTGTTCCCTCTCCGTCGAATCTCTCTGAAACATAAATCGAGCCGATGCACGCGCTCCTCTCTGGAATTTTAATCACGCGATAATTGAGACGTTATATTTTCGGTCTACGGTCCGTGTCTACTATTTGAGATCAATACTATCCGGTGAGAACGAGATTTCAGAGAAGCATTCGTAATAAATTTCTCTCTCGCACATTTTATCTCGTTAATAATATTCCGTATGCGCTTTATTTATTTATAATGTTTCTCACATACGTCTTTCATGGTAAGACTAGACTGAAAATGTTCTTTGCAGATGTATCTTTTGTCAACTCTCTCTCGTATTTTGCGTTGAAAAGTTTTTAATAAATTCTCACGAAACAAAGGAGGTTTACACGGTTCTATCGTCAAAGGTTTATTACTCTAAATAATTTTGTTATTAAAGTTATTAAAATTTTTCATGAAATTTCATTAAAAAATTTTATCAAAAATTTTATTAAAGAAGATTTACACGGTTTTAATATTAAAAAGGAAATACTTTTCAAGAAGGTTAAAGGTTAAACAGATAGAAACTGCGCCGTGAAATGTAATTCCGCTTTTAACCAAGTCGAGAAATATCCGAAAGTGTCTGTCGGACCCACTGAAACGTTGACATAACTGTCGCCTCGGGAGAACGTGCGGGAGATCTACGAGAGGATAAAGACGAGCTCCGCGAGTGGTGAGGTGACGATTTGTTTCGCTCGGGAGCAAAGTGTATTTCATTGATCACGGGGATGCGCGATGATTCACGCGGAAAATTTGACGAAAATCGGCGTTACCGTTTTATCGTCGAGCCACTCGACAACAGGCGCCGCGCGGTTGCGCCGGAACGTGCAGAAACTGCACACAAGCCAATTAGAAAACCGGGCGGATGGCGAATAAACATTTATCCGGTCTAACTCAAATACCGAAAATACACTGGAAAGTTTGATAGCCGTCGTTGAATTTATTTCTTTCGGCGGAATCGATTGATGAAGTGAGCGACGCGAAATTTACTGCTTCCTCGATTTCAGTTCGGGTATTACGTACGTGATTATTTACGGGCATGTTAATTAATTTTCATTAATTTAATTTCGCTCACCGAAGAGGGAGGGGGTGGGGGGGGGGGGAATTGCGGCACGTTAAATAACGCCACGACATACTTCGCGAACGTGCTGTTCATAGCGCGCAGAATTTGTGACTGATATACTTTTTCTCCTCTCTTTCTCTCCTTTTTTTTCTTTCGTTTTTGTTTAAATTTCGCGAGACGGCTTTGGACGTTAATTTATTCCACGTGCGAATGTGATGTAATTTATTCTACAATGTGTAATTCGACGCGCGATCAAAGCGCACGGCATCGTTGATCTGTGGAACACGTGTCGAATTTCGCGTGTAAAGAACAGCTATCGACGTTTTCAAGAGTATAAAACAGATAGCTGCAACATCCATCGAATGCAACGTACGGTCACTTGAACAATGGCCGGATGACGTTACGCTGCAAATACATGAACGTTTCATCCAATTTGTATCAACAATAGCGACGGAAATATCTGAAATCAATGACTTTCTCTCAGCGGACCAGTGAAAAAAATCAGTGTATGGTCAGACACGCGCTCGGGTCGCACAATGTTTCGTTATCTCGACACGACGACGAGTTTCAGATTTTTCTCTTAACAATTTTTCACAGTGATGGGAAAGAAGAAGAAGAAGAAGCACTACGACCGTAGACATACAAAGTAAACTGAGCGTTGCTATTGGAAAGCCGAAGCCAAGATCGAAGCACAGAGATGTGTTAACAGTGATGTTTTCTCTATCACATAATACTGTAAAAAAAAGCGATGTGAGGGAAATAGAAGAGTGAGAGAGTGAACTTAGTGAAAGAAAAAAAGGAATAACGTGTATTTGATTATGTGAGAGGCACACTAATAATACACGAGCGTAAACACACTCGTAGTTATTAGTTCATGATACTTGTAACTATGTGTCACTTCTTTTCTTTCCTTCTCCCCACCATTATACAATTAAACAAGGAAAGCATCGCTGTCTCTATTGCCCTCTCTTACTAACAAATGAATGTTCCAATTAGTGGCAAAATAATCTTATCGTGAAAATAAATCAATAAATTAGTAATATATCTGTTAAGCTAAGCGAATCAAATTGATTTTGATCGAAAGTTTCAACATTTGCTGGTTCTACTTGTATTACATTTTTTAAATTTATGATCAGATTTAAATTAATTTATAATATCTCTTCGAAAGAGAGTGACGGAAGTGCAATTTAGCGACATGTAACCTTGATTTTGTCCCAATTTATAAATATCCTTGATCTTTCCTCGACCTTGGCAGTACGATTTCAATCGCTTGAGATTAAAGAATAAAAGAACAAAAAGACATTAGGGAATAATTGCGAAAAAAGTTAAATAACTGTCTCGTATTAGCAGCCAACCTCTAAGATGTCAGCGAGTAACCGTTCGAAATATTAGCAGCACGACTTCTTTAATTCTATTTAATACTTATAACGGATAATATGCAACATTTACGGCAAAAATACATTCTTTCAGGTAAATATGGAAATATGTTATCTGACTTATTAAGGAAAATAGGCGCGATCGTGGGACAAATTGGGGCACTGTCGCTAATTGGGACATTCACCGGCTCTCTAATGAGAATACTCAGTCTTCTACATGTCCGTGATTACGACGCAGCAATTATCAGATATTTCGCGTCAAGCACGTTCTCGGGAAGCTTTTGACGGTCAAAGCGACAGAGATTCGCCCGTCTTAATCCAGTCGATATCCCGACCGGCCGGCGTAAACGCCGGGCGCACCGGTGGAAAACGGCGTGGGAAGAGGGAGTTGGATTACGTTTAAACACTCACCAGCGGGCAGGTCCAAGTGAGCAACGGTTTATTCCCAAGATACGCGAGCTTGGCCGCCACCTCGCAAATCGAGCTGTCGAGCGCCGCTATCACTGCCTTCGTTTTGCTTTCGCCCAAAGCGTGGATCAGGGCGCCCAGGCCGCCGGTCTTCGTCTCACACGTTACTGGAAATTAATTTGCCGCGCCATTAGATCCCTCTGCGCGCGTGTGTGTGTGTGTGTGTGTGTACGAACGGAGCGTTCGCAGGGAATGTTCCCTCCGCATACCGTCCACCTCGGCAACTTGTTAGCCAGGTACGTGCGAGCGAGCGAGTGAGCGGGACGAGCGGGGTGATACGAGGCACGATGTGTGTGTGTGTGTGACGTATATTGATTTAATGGAGCAATTTTCAATGGGTCGGCTATCGATTCCGATAAGCTTGCCATCCAACTCTCCTCCCTCCTTTACCGTAGGTTAATAACGAGACAGCTTCCGCGTGCTGCCGCGCTCCCCGCTCGTTACAGCTGATATTTAACAACACGGAACGCGTATTTGGCGTCGCCCCCGTTCAAATGCTATTCAAGCGTCCACGTATTACGTGCATTCGTGTGTGCGCGCGCGCGCGCGCTGCTCGGCCGACGGCATTGTGCAAGATATAATGGCGCGGACAATAACAGCAGGTGGGATGTTATTAGCTGCACTTTCTGAATACCTGGAGCTCCACTAGCGCGACGGCTCTCCCGCAAGAGCATCAAGTTCGCGTCGAGTCTTCGTCGTCTCCGATTCTCCCGCTCTCGAATATATCAATATCCCGGCTCTCTCGGCGGATCCCGCTGCGTTGGGAACGTCCGGGGGCGGCTTCGGGGTCTCGCCGAGCGTTCAATTGTCAAATTGCGAAACGACCTCAACGGGCGGCATCCGACGTAAACAGTCGGAAAGAGCTTTTCGCGGCTCACCAGAGCGGCGCATTTGCGTTAGAAATGCGTGTAACCGGCGGGTTTCGATTTGAATTCGTAATTGGGCTATCGGACAGCGCGTTATTCGGGCGTGTGTAAATTTCGTCGCCGTGTAAAACGGGGAAGCGCGGACGATCATATCGCGAACCGCTCTCTACGTTGCGGCTGGAATGCCGTTGCTTCACGGAACGTGGACATTGAATTGTATGACGTTATAATGTACAACCGCCGGCGGTGTACATCATTTTTCGCAGTTTCTCGTCGAGGCTCGTCCAGCCGAGATACTCGAGAGACCGGGGGACGTTCAATGGCAAACGGTAAAAGAGTGGCGACGATCGGAATATTTTCTCTTCAAGCGACTGCGTAAAATAACGTTTTTCTTGGATTAAGAAATAATATTTTAAAATAATATTAATATTGTTCAAAACATGTTCCTCGGTATTGTGTTGTCACTTATTGGGATTTTAGATTATTTCTGAGTGAATAGACGTACTTTTCAGTTCTTTACGATCGATTAGAAAGGGATTTAATTGAAACACAGTCATTTTCTCGAGCACTGTGACGGAAAGACCGGTGGGGATCCCGCGGACCCCTGCGTGGTGGTCACGTATGCGAAGACGCGAAATGTGTACATCTAGGTTTAAACAGCGATTCTAAGAATCGACGAGGGAACACAAAATTTGAAGCGTAAATGCAAAGCGTCATTAATTCACTCACGAAAATTCAAATTGACGGCGACAAAAGTCAGGCTGTCTTCTGATCTAATGACTTGCTACTGCGACGTTAAAATTGCGAAACAATTAGTGCGATATATGAAATTAAAAATACAGCTAGCTCTCCGTGGAAACTCGCAACGCTCGCGTGGTTCCTCCGCTGCGTATAATTCCTCCCCCCCCCCTTCCGTTTCCCCTTTCGTCGGGCACGCCGGTTGCGCGAAAGTTGACACACGAGTAATGGCACTTACGGGATCTTGGCATCACGCTGATCGAGAGCTCGCCGGCGTCCGGCGCGCGCTCCAAGTGATCCTGTATCTCGGTGACGTTGATCTCCCAGTCGCATCTCTCGCCCAGGAAGACTATTACGTCCGCGTCGGACCGGGTTTGCCCGTGGGCCATCTCCGAAGGATAGGTGGACGTGCACGAAATACGACCGGCCGAGGAGGGAAGAATGCACCGGGATAGGATCGCGATCGGGATCCACCACCAGAACTGACGAAAACAATTCCCGGCCATGGGCCCCTGGACCCTGCCGACCACGTTACCACGACGGCGGGAAACGGCGAGACGACACCTTGTCTTGTCTGCCCGGCCCGTCCACCCTCGTCACTATCTGCAAAACACCAAAAATCTTCCATTAGCGCGATCCTTGGATCGGCACTTAACGGATTATTCTTAAGGGGGGATGGAACGGCAGCCGAATCCCGATAGGAGTGTCGGTAGTGAAATCGTTAGTAGTAATATTACGTTACGTCATCGAAGTCGTTAGACATATGACGCATATACGATCATGAAGAGAAACGGGGAACGAAAACAATTGATCGGTCAGTCTTTATCCAATTATGCTTCTTGCTGTTGCGTCTGTATGAATGTATCAGTGTGTGCGCACGCATGTTACATACCAAAGAAAACGCGACAGCACCTTCGATGGTAGATTCAGAAACTGTACAAGATGTTCGATAATTTTCTCGAGATTCATGGTGCGCGGGTAAAATGGAAGAAGCTGGACAAAATGGTAAATGATTTTTCTATTCAATTTCACCCGTTCCTTTCTTTGCCCCTTTCATACATATGCCTTCCGTGAAATCTAACAACGTCGTGTTGCAATATAATATCCTATTTTCTCCCCCCTCCCCCGTGCGTTTTCTTGCAGTCAGGATAAAATAATGATAACGGTAAAAATCGTGATAATAATTCAATTTGATCGGTGTGTTGAGTTCAAGTTAGCGTTCTCGCTTTTCGCTCTATGAGGTCAGGTTTTAATTCGCAAAGTGTCGCGGAAAGGGAGTCTCCCGCAACTCGACACGTAGGGTGGATATTGCGAAAGTCAGTGAAATCGGGAGGACTCTGTCGGGAAACGCAATGAAAACGCGAGCGTGGCTGTCCTTTCCTTTAACGGGACGGGACGGGAACAAAGAGCCTCTGCGGCGTAATTAGCTCTTTAAGACGATGCCGTCCGAATCCGGCGGCGAAATGCGGTGTTTTCTATGGAACAGCGATCGACGTGGACCACCGCTCTTTTTCTTCAGCCGTAGTTGCAGCTTTGTGCGTTGCGGAAAGGTCGCGGTTTAGCGACGAGCTGAATACCAATGAGAAAAAATTGCGAACAAAGTTACATGAGCTCGCGGGCCCCTTCGAGAAGCAACAGGCAATCGATGTCCCGTAGTTATTAGCCAACGAAATACTATTCCTGCCGTGTAAACCTCGAGTCATTATAGAAACTGATTTAGTAAGAAAATGTAGGAATATACCGGCTGCCCTCGGGGCGCCTTATCGTGCGCTTCTTCTCGTCGTTGTGCATTTCTTTGACCAACTTGAATTTTTCCCCGAACGAGTTCACTTTACAATCTTATAATAACTCATCGCGTTTATATACTCGCAGCCGTAATACATAAAATTACAGTAAAAAAACTGTTAAAACCGAGTGTCAACATATTTTTCCGTAAAATATCGCGCGATCACCATTTCCATTAACGGGAGAATGTTGAATCTGCGCGTCGTTCACGTAGAAAAACTAACGGACAAGAGCGCGAAGAATCCGGGAAAGCGCTGATAATTGTATCAATTAGTACCCTTTCGCAGGATTGCGGGGATTACACGTCGCTGTCGTTAAACGAATGTTGAGATAATTGTTTTACATTCACCGTAACCACCATTGTACCAGCGTATTAACGCCGTAACATCGTTACCCGCGTTGCCGCAACGAAATTTATACGGCGTGGCTTGAAAGAGGGAGAGAGAGAGAGAGAGAGAGAGAGAGAGAGAGAGGGGAAGCTACGAAAAATGTTGTGATAAACTGGCGAAGTGAAAAATAACCGAAAAAGTCATTTCCCTGTCGTCATACGTGCCCTTTGGTCAATCCGCCGGCTTTGTAAACCTTTTTGGCGCAAGGCAATAAACGGGAGATGCGTGACGCGCGAGTTTCATCGAAACAACGTTATAGCGTTATCGTGTAATAAAAACTGCACAGTACTCGCGCGCATGGAGCTACGCTAGGTCGCTCAACACGAACAAAACTATACACGGTACAGTTTTTACACGATTACCCTGTGATAAGGACTTTGCACTAACCGTGTGTGCCCGAGTTGCTCGACTATACATATCCTTTCGATATCGCGAACTGCATGACAGCGTTGGCTGGGCGCGTTAACGCAAAGCGATAACGGGACGTGAACTTACGACATTTATCGGATCAGTTCCGTTTGAACGTTAATTATTGAGCGTGGAATTGCGTCCGATTTCGCATGGAATTATCTCGATGACGGATAGCTCGCGCATAAACGCGCCGGCTGCGTTTTCGGGATAATGTCGGGTCTTTCGCTTCGTGAAGATAGGTGTGAGTAGATTTTCGCGTAATTCGGAGCTCGCGTTTTTCACCGTCGACCTCGCCCCCGCAAAACCGAGCGCCGCAGTCGACTTTCTCGCCGGGATATTTGGAGGAAAAAGAGAGAAAGAAAGAGAGAGAAGAGGACAGAGGGAATTTGAATTGGAGAGGATCGTGCAGTGATGAGATGAATATTAATGAGAAAAATCGCGAACGAAATTATATGGACTCTCCCATCCCATCGAGAAGCAACAGGCAATCGGGTAAAAAATTAAAAAAAGAAAGGAAAGAAAGAGAGGAAGAAAGAGAGAGAGAGAGAGAGAGAGAGAAAGGCATTTCCATTTCAAACTGACTGGTGTGTGAGATTGATGAAACTGAAATACTGGAATCGGAGTGAAAACATTTCAAACTCGTCGGAAATTATTTCAGGCCGCGTTGATGAATTATACTTCGCAGCGTGTACGCATTACGGCACTTTCCTCCGGAATCAGTGAAGCGCCGGTAGTAAAAATAGTTCACCGTGTCGCCGTGAATTCCCGGGAAGAAAATCCGCCGACATCTACGCGACTTTCCCCGAGAAGAGAAATTTCGGTGCCGTCCGCCACGTCAATATCCATCGGCTATGATAATCACTATTATTATGCCGCGTTGCAAGGGGAGGAAGGCGTGTACTTTATCCTCCGCGATGGAACGTTAAATTGGTTTTTCAGGCCGGATATCGACGGAGAATTCGCCGATGGGACACGCGGTGACGGAAATAAATGGATAGATTTTTCCGATAAAAGCGTCATACTTTCTCTTCCCTCCTTTCTCTCTTTCCCTTCCTTCCCGCTTTGCCTCTTTTCTTTCTCGTATCTTCTCCTTCTCTCTCTCTCTCTCTCTCTCCCCTCTTGAACGTTCGAATCTGTTTTAAGGAGACGTAAGCATCCGCGACAGTCGAGCTTCTCCGCGTACGTGCGTCCCATTCGCGTTCGCGACGCGTCCGAATCGAAGAATTTTCATCCACTCGGCCTCGGGATGTTCGAAGCGCGCTCAAACCGCCTGCGCTCCGTCGCCAGTTTAAAAATCCCCCTGAATATCTTAATGGAAGCTGGTGGCGCGGCGCCCAGGCACGAGGTATATAACTCACTCTTACGAGGGCAGTCCGATAAGTACTTAGCCTACAAAAGAAAAACGAAAATTTTGGAAAAGTGGCGATTTATTTCTCAACATAGTCTCCTTTTAGCTCGATACACTTGACCCAGCGATGCTCCAACTTCTTTAACCCATCTGAAAAATACGTTTTCTCGGCCAAATTGGTCGAATTGGACTACGAACTGCTGCCCCATCCACCGTATTCTCCAGATTTGGCCCCGTGCGACATTTTTTTGTTTCCAAATTTGAAAAAGTCACTCGCCGGGCAGAAATTTGAGTCGAATGAGGAGGTGATCGCCGCCACGGAGGCCTTTGCAGACTTCGAGAAAACGTATTTTTCAGATGGGTTGAAGAAGTTGGGTCAAGTGTATCGAGCTAAAAGGAGACTATGTTGAGAAATAAATCGCCACTTTTCCAAAATTTTCGTTTTTCTTTTGTAGCCTAAGTACTTATCGGACCGCCCTCGTACGTGATATTCCCCCTCGTGAATTGCGGTAACACGATTAGGACACGTCCCGAAACGTTTCTTCTTTCACGCCGTGGGTTTGCACCTCGCGGATATCCGAGTCCGGGCAGGACGGACTCGACACACAATCGTTGCAAGCAACATCCGCGCGTTAGTCTCAATTTGCGCGGGCATTTACGATCGCCTCTACAAGCTTGTTACGGGGCAAAATTGCCGTGACGTAATTACGGAACACCGTAATGCCGAGTTATTATTGTCCGAGCGCTCGGTATTGATTAAAGAAGATCACCCGACTGATGCGCCTCGGATTCATCGTCTCTTTCTCTCTTAATCTCTCCTCCTCCTCCTTTCTTCCTCCCTACCTCCCTCCCTCCCTTTCTCTCTCTCTCTCTCTCTCGTTAACACGGTATAATTGCCGGTAGCGCGCAAATTAACCGGGGAAATCTGCCCTAACTCCTCCGTGGAGCGGGTCGAGTAGATGATTTCCGTGTTTACGTTGAAGCCCGGACAACTTTCGAGCGCTCGTCGGGGACGGCATCGACGGGCGGCATCGAACGCAGATGCATGGGTCCCCGACGGGCACTCGTAACGATTTCCGGACGGCAAGTGCGGCGCACCGGGTGAAGGGAGAAAAATGCGGGATAATCGTGATCCGACATTCCAAATTGAAAACGTTCGCGGTATGAAATGCCCGTCGCGCGTTACGGGCGGAGGAACGACGTCAGGTCGACTTTGAATAAAAATGACGCGCTGCGGGATCTTCCGAGACACTTTACGATCGCTCGTAAAAGCCGTCACGAGCGATGGCGGGAATTAAGGAGCGTGATTTCGAAACATTCTCGTTCCATTCAATGTGAACACCGCGCGGATCGCTCCCGTTCAAACCTCGCGCGTTCCATTCATTTTTGCTCCCGCGTGCTCGTGCAATCAGCCGCCCTTCTCCCCCTCCGCCTGCCCGTCGATGCGTCTGCGGATAATTTAAATGGATTCGTCGACTTTGCTCCGTTAAATTCCGTCGCGCAAAGCGACGATCGCGCGATGGGAGACGCTGAAAGGGGCGGTTATCCTAATTTAATCTTACCGTATACACCGCGCGTGTCGGCGCGCCTCGTGCGTAATTCGATACGTTACTCATTATTCTGTAATGGTGTTACATCGAAATCGCATTATATCATACGTGCGCGGCTAATCGATTCTCCGATTATAGAGTCCGCATTCCATTGTCAAGTCGCGATGTGGAAGAGATTCGATATTTAACATCGCGCGAAAGTCACTCTCTCTCTCTCTCTCTTTCTCTTCCTGCCATGCGACTCGCTGACTTCATTATCTCTCTTTGCATCTATTCCCAACAACAAATTCATTCGTCGATCGATACGAGCCGTTTCGCACGCCGCTTCAATTATATTACGCTACCATTCGATGCCCGTGTCCCGTTTCCGAAAGAGTAAGCTGCTTTTTATTCACAGATCATCGGATCCGCGAGCAAACGCAAGTCGGACAACGACTGCGAGACGCGGGTGACCGATGGAATGTTTCGCACCGAAAGATTCGCACCTGAGCGATGCAATGCGATTCTTACGGGGGCGCGTTTCGCGAGTTTCGCGAGCAAAGAGCAATTCATCAAAGCGCTTCTGCGTGAAAGGCCGCGCGAGCTGTCAACGTCCGTCGAAAGCGGCGCTTGTATTACCACTCGATCGCCCGATTCGCCGATTCGTATCCGTGAATTCCGACGACGGCGTGCCGGCGCGCATCGGAACGATCACACGGCGTCAAACGCGAAAAGAATGGGATCAACAGGTGACGAATCGGCCGTGGCATAGTGCCCGGAGGGAAATTAGCCGGAACTTGAGATACTTAACATCGGCACGGAATAGTCTGGGCCGCCTTCCCCGCGACCCCGGAAATAAATCACGGCCGATAGAATCGTGTACGGTAATTACCTCGCTGATGCACGCGAAGGGAAACACGACGGGCGATGGAGCAGTGAGGGTCTCTCCGAAGAAAAAGGAAAACGGGAATGGTGACGAAAGAGAAAGAGAGAGAGAGAGAATGTGTGTGTGCGGAGGGAGCGCTAATTTCATCCGTCTCGCTGTGTCCAATCTTTGTCTCTGTCCTTTTCGTCGTCGTGTCCTACGTTCCTCCTTGTCGGCCAATCCACCACGGTGTCCTCCGCTTTCACGCGCGCGTGTATCGTTATCACGAGCTTATTTGATTTCTTCTGGCTGCGACGGCTGCGAGCCCTTCCTTCTCTCGCACGGCCACCCCTACCGAATAGACGGACAACAATGGGGAGCCCCTAATCCTATATGGAACGTCGTCGTGTGTTGTCGAAGCGGCAAGAACAAACAAGGTTCGCCGATCCCAGCCCGTCGCGCTGGTGGCGTCGAATATTGCAAGTTGGAAAATCGGGTCAAGTGTTATACGTCGGCGGTTCTGAATCGCGGCGGACGGTAGTATTGATACCGACGGCTACGCACGACAATAGGCGCACCGCTGTGTCAACACGCTTGTAACGGCCTGGGAGAGAGACGCGTTATAATTCAGTCGGCGAACGGAGCTTTCCCTCTAGTGTAGAGCGCGACGGGCCGCGTGTGATGAGTGAAAATTGTCAAGGAAGGATCTGGGAAAAAAGCGGGCAACCTCTCGACAATGGGGTGGCACGATATACGCGCGGAAGGAGAGAGGATCGATCTCTCCCGGTCGTATTTATATATTTTATCGCGGCTACGTCACACACACACACACACACACACACACGTCGTGCATAAGGCTTTCTGCGGTTATTTATTCCCGCGCATTGTTTCCAGCTCAACATTGTAAGGCGTTCTCATGCTGACGCCGGAGGCGTGCGCACGGGTAGGGGAGGAGACGAAAGCTCGCGCGCGCGTTTCGGATTCTCGGTGAATTTTATTTCGGGAAACAATGCACACACAAGTCACGTACCTGCGAGAGAAGCAGCTCTATGCGACGCTGGCGGGATTCCCGTGTCTTCGGGTCGTCGACATCTCTCCGGCGAAATTCTGCCTCTACATGATGCCGTTCACACGTCGGTGCCTCTTCCTCAATAAAACCCTCCCCCTCCTCCCTCGCGCCGACCGGTTAGAACGGCTCCTTTCAGAATGGAACGTATCGCGCTTTCGCACTTCCGCATTTCGCCGCGTCGCCGCCGCGGGAGAAACACCGCCTCATCCCTCCGGCTTTTTCCTCCGTCGATTTAAAGTCGCGCGAGATCGCCGGGAGATCGCCGGTACATCGACACCTGACTTACGGCGGCAACGGTCGCGCCGCCGTCGTCATCCCCATCGTGACGTTCTCCTCGCGATCTCTTACGCGCCTCTCATTCGTGATACTCGGTCCGATTCTCGAGGGAGTCTCGCGCTCGACCGGACGTCACTCGATTCGGGGGCTTCACGGGGTTCCAGTTTTCCACGCAGCCGATGGGGAAACGCTCGCGGGGCAGCGTCCGCTCGAAATCTTCATGAGGACTTCCCGTGCGGAATCTCGAACAAGTGTCTTCGGGACACCGCTGATCCCCGGCTCAGTTCGTCGAGCTTTCGGCTAAATCTCTCGCGCGCGGTCTCTCACGACTGCGCGAGTTTATGTCGCTCGTAAAGTCGTCTCCGACGCTACTATCCTCCGGAGGGGCACTTCGCGACCACGGAACATTTCCACGTTCGATCGATTGTCAAAGTCCCGTGTCTCGTTCGATGGTTCGCTTCTATCAGTCCCAAGACGTCCCTCCGTCGTTCTCGCGTAACGGCCGCGTTAGCGGCGCGATGTATCCGCCTCGAGTTCCGAACGGAGCACGGATATCGGAGAGACGAGCACTACGGGGAAGAGGAGAGAGAGAGAAGGGTAGAACTCGGGTCTTAGCTCCGGTTACTGCCAATCAAGGACAATAACGTACGCGATACGGCCGCGAGACTGCCGTGGAGACGATATCGAGCGTGCTATTTCCGACCGCGTCTCTCCATGATTCAGAATATCGCCTCGGTCCGGGATAGCCGATTCGACCTTGACTCTGGTCGTTCGCACAACGTATAACGTCACGGGTGGACATACATATGCATAAATCCGCGTCCGTCCCGGAAGCGTCCGTCCGTCCGGGGACGCATCGATCGCGGTCCAGGATGGCTGCGGGGACGATTGCGAGTGGATGCGCGCAGTCCGAGGATCGAGGTCGGTCTGTTTTTCAGGCTGTCCTCGGAGGGGTGAGCGTCGTCGCCGTCGTTTCAAGGGGACGAGTTCCCGGGCTCGATCGCGGCCACGCACGCACACAGCCGACGCTGCTTACTCGTCCCAGTTCGGAGGGGCGTCCGCCTCATCCCCTCGTTCTCCGGCTGCACTGATCGCGCGACGCAACATCCGGTCCGCGCATTCGTCGAATGTCGCCCTCGTGTGTCCCGCCGATTGGGAATTTCGCCGGAGGCGAATTAGCGCCCACCGGCCCACCTGTGCTTCGTGAAATTGTCGACGGGACGTTGATGTCGCACCCGATTATAACGCGCGACGTCCGTGGCAGGTGGAAGGGTCGCGCTGGCATCGGTCGGAGCGTCCTCGCGATCTGCAACAGATAATGAAAGCCGACAGTCGCGAGCTGCCAATAATTCGGGCTTAATCCTGTCGGACTGTCCGTGGCGTTACGGGCGCAAATGAACGACCGAAGATGGAAATTAAAGGGAGTCCCGGGTGGATCGAAACTTTCGGCCTGTTTTTCGTTCGACAGTCCGAGTTCCTAATTAGATTCCTCGTTGGCCCGGTTGAATCGTCGAATCGAACTCGAGCGGTAACATTTCCGCGTTATCGCCGCCCCTTTCTCCCCTCCCTTCGAGAAATGACCGCTAGGTATCAGTTTTTAACGGACGGGAGGTCGATCGTGCCTCTTCGACATTTCTCATCCCTCGTGTCTTCGCTTTATGTGAATAAATGCTCGCAAATGGCCGCACACAACACAGTGAGAGTATATGACGGTTCCCGCGACATTTGATGCGATTCGACGCGAAATTACTCGTCGAGGAATCTCGCGTGGTATACGTCGTATTTTCAATCGGGTGGAAGCCACCCGATCAAACGAGAGTTCACCTGTGTAATTTTCAACATGTTTCGAGACACATAATTGACTCCCAGGACTAGGTGTCAATGCTGATTTGAGAGTAGCGGAATACTGGGATGATACCAAGGCTCGAGTACTGTGACTGCACCGATTTCCGATATTGTAAAAATATGGAAAATTATCGATTCCCAATGTTGAAACAATACAGATTCCCGGTAACGATTATTATTATTGTATACTTGTTAATACCATGACCATACTGTGGAAAGAAAGGTCAAAATACGGCCACGGGTGCTGATTTATACCCGCAGATTCCTGCTTTTAACGTTATATGAGGTGAAAAAGATCGGGACGAGGCAGATTCGGCTGGGAACTCTGCTCTTCTCTTCGCCAGGCAACTGTTCTTATCACTGAAGTTACTTAGGCCTCGACATCCAGTGATATCTCCGCCTTGCCGGCGTTTAAGGCGTTGTTATCGTGAAATCCGATTCAGTACCGAATTGCTCGTCAGTATCTCCAATACTGGCCGAATGTACAGGGTGTTGCATCAACATACGACCCATTACAACGGATTGCCCGCCCAAAGGCGCGCGCGTCCGGATAGTAATTTCGCATTTGTCGATATAGTCATACCTTTCCAACGAAGTTATAGCGTTCCGAATTATCATCCTAATTATTAACCTAACCCGTCGTATGATGGGTCGGATGTTGATGAAACATCCTGTATACTATCCCTACATGAACCTGCACGCCTTTTGATAAAGAAGGTCGACTCATCCGGCAAAACGGAGTCTGTGATTCGCTATTAACCCGATGACGAGTCTCGTAAGTTTACCGCGTGCTAAGAGAGTGCTATAACGTTTATCGATGCCGTTGGACAAGTTACAAACGAATTTACGAAAGTTATAAACGAGAGCCGGTGCAGGTGCGCGCACGTGCGAGGGCATCGCGCGTCTGCAACGGTTAATGAAAGCCCGCGGTTACGAGCCGCGATTAATCTGGACTTAATCCCATCGAGTCCTGCGCTCGTTATGCGATGGATTAAGGACGAGTTAATTAACGTCTAGGCTTAAAGGCGGGCTATTTCATTAAACACCAGGCCGAGAGAGAGATGGAGAAGGAGAGGGCGAGAGAGAGTGAATCGTATTGTCCGCGTATTATCGCAAATACACTCGTGAAATTTCACGGGAAATACACCGAGGGCGCTTCCCGAATTTCTGGTTACAACGAAGTTACGGCGGGTCCCGCAGTTACGTCTTCGAGGTGCAATTAATTTCAGCTTAGCCATTAAAGTCGAGCCCTAACCGGTGTATAACGACGTGTCGATTATTATTATCCGACCATTAAGAGAACCTCTCTCTCTCTCTCTCTCTCTCTCTCTCTCTCTCTCTCTCTCTCTCTCTCTCTTTCTCTCGCAATATAAGTCTTGTTACGCGATTAAACCAATGTATAAAAATTACACCGTTGATATATCCGCGGATTCGATAAGATCCGCGTTAATTGGACCGCGTTTATCCGTTGTGGAAATTTATTTCAGTCGTGGAATTACGCGGAATTGTGTTTCAGCGATGTTGAAATGTTAAAAGAACTCTGTTGTCACGCGGGGATAAATGCGTGCGGGTCCGATAAAAAAGATCGGAGCGACGTGCAAGGTATTTTATTGGCCGCGTGTGTCGCCGGCGACGCTCTTGTTGCGCGGCTGCTGTATTCGCGCATTTAATGAGAAATTATACGTACGTAACGGCGCACGAGCGCGTCCGAAAGGGTAGAGGGAGGGGGTGACAAGAAATCGAAAGTTCGCAGGTAAAAACGATAATGCGAGACGCGGCGCGAGATAATGAGCAAAGTTTTTCGATTACACCTCACTCGCTCGTTTATTAGAATCGCGCGGCAAATAGCGTGCCGCCTTCTTTCCCATCGCGGAATATGTATGCACCGACCGCGAATGCGCCGTGGCGGTGTAGCGGCAGTCATGTTGATAAACGTGTAACATTTCTTTCCATTTCCATTCGAAACCGCCGATTCGGATCGAGCTCTCGAGAGCTCGAATGTCCCCACGAATAGTTTCATCTTCCGTTCCGTAGGAACTTATTCCCTCGATCCGAATGACTGTGCACCGTTATTAAACTTTCGAGATAGACGCGAGGTATATGCCGCGCGCGGTCTATTCGCCGATGTAAGGGGATGCATTTGCACTTCTTCGTGTTTCCATGCGAAGAAAATCCTTCGGGGAGAATGAGAGAAAGGAGGAGCCCCGACTCTCAAACAGAATCCGCTGAACTAATCCATTCTGTCGGTATTGAATTTAAATTATATTAAGACGAAGAGAGAGAGAGAGAGAGAGAGCGGGTCCACTTAATTCATCACTTAATCACGTAACGTTCAATCCTCTCGTCGGCTCTCGCTCGAGGTAAGAAATCTATGTAATATTAGTTCAGCGGAGACTTGGGGATTAAATAATATCGCGGAACAATGTTACCAGGAATATATTTCTTGTCGAGCGGAACTTTGCCAGAGGATGAGATTGTGACAATCTATTGTGTGCGCGCAGGTGTCTGTGTGTGTGTACGTGTGTGTAAGTTAAAAGTTAATGATTACATAACAGAGGAAAAGGAGGTATTATGGCCCCCTACTTACATTTTGTACAATAACTTTGTTAATAATATTTTAAATTGAAACGAACTGAACGAGTACATTTGTTAAAGTGTTGTTTAATCCTCAATCCTAAATCCAAAGTTATGAAATATTTATTACTTAGGACGTTATTTATAAAAGTATGGCGACATTACGTAAAGGGTTGAAGAGAAACAGGGGTGGTAATGTGGCCCCCAACTAAAATAGATTTTAAAAATTGGTTTTGTTTAAAATAACACGAAGTGTTTTGTTACAAAAAATATGTTTATTCGAAATAAAGATGAATATAACTATAAATTTTTAATGTAGATATTGACTTGTCAAAAGATACAATTTATCAGAAGGACAACAGTGCAATGCAGATAGAAGTGTAGTAGTAAACTTATAATCGACTTAATAGATTACAGTCGACTTATCGAGTAACAATTTCGATATGAAAACCTCGAAAAAGAAGATTATCAGTACTCTAAGGGAGCCACGTTAGTAAAATGCTATGTTATTGTTTGATTTTGCGTAACTCGAGTTCTATATAGTCGAATGAAATATTAAATATCGAACAAAACGCTCCAATATACGCATATTCATATGATAATGCGCTAGAGTTTAAAAACAGTGAGGAAATATGTATAATTAAACGCTAAAAGTGCTTTAAAAACATTTCAAAATGCTCGACAGTAAAAATGCATTATAACCAAACGCCGGCTATTGTGTATTGACATGTTAGCGCCCTATTACATAGGATGTGTTCCCTTTTTACTGGCAGTGCGACCATCGTGATGTCATAATAGTGCGCTGGTGCAGCTGTTCCGAAATTACTTTGGTATTGCTAGTAACATTGTGACGTTGTATTTCGGAACAGCATTGCAGTAGTTGCTGTAGTGGACTGTAACAGACGTTGCAGTTGTGGACTGTAATAGACGCGATGGACAAACACCGGCTGCGTTGCGATATTCACTGCTAATACTGAAAATCTATGGTAACATAAACAACAGATTTTTGGTATTGGTAGTAAATTTCGGAACGCAGCCTGTTTGTTTTTACACGTGACAAATCCACCTTCTCTCGTCGTTTACACGACGCCATATTGCACTGCAACTGTCTCGGGAACTGCAGCAACCGTAGTGGCAATATGGTTACCATTTATGACGTCATTGATAGAAATATTGGTAAAACAATTTTCCCGTACAGCCAATATTGTCAATGTATATTCGGAACACACTCATATAATGGCGAGTTACTAAATAAATAATTCCAGAAGTAATCAATAGAATTTACTACCCAATAGTGGAGATATTAAGAGAGGCTATACCTATAAAGGCTGTGATGTTACTTTTTCCCTTACTGTATTAAGTTTTATAGTGAATATTAAACATATTTCAAATTTGCCGGTATCTCAAATCATTTAGCTTTTTGTCTTATAACTACTATGTTATAAACTATGTTACCGACTATGTTATAAATAAGCGGAAAATAAATGTATTCTAAAACAATTTTAAGATTTTTATGTCTTATACGCTTAATGTACACAAATGATGTACATTCGGAAAATCGTACTTCTCTCAATTTTATCCGGACAAAGGAATTTTCATGAGGAACGTCCTTTAAGACAATCTTATGAATTGTAACTTTTTACCCCAATGGGACCGATATGTGGGCTCTTTAAGGCCTTAAAGGGCCTTAAAGAGAGATCGTTATCATTCTGCTAAATAATTGTCACGAACAATGTCTCTCGATAACATGTTATTTTCAAATATCGTTGATAATACACGGTGCATACCACCGCAGACTCTCGTACGAGGGAATTGCGAGACAAAACGTCCATGCGTGTGCACGTGCCGGCACACAGGCGCGCCCATATTGATGGAGATAATGAAAAT